ATGGATCTCACGTCAAAGTGGGTGGCAACGCGTTTCAGAGCATGTGCAGAAGCTCCTTCTTCAGACCATAGCCCAGTAATGGCAGCCGCTAGATATAGAACGGGAGGCCGGGGATGCGGTCAGTACTATCACTATGGAGCTACAAAAGGAGCCAATCTGGACTTAGTGAATATAAAGAGGCTGACTCAATCATAGGACCAATTTTCATGTAGGCAACAATGCAAATAGTGACACCTATGGTGATAATAATTATTGCCGGTCAGAACAAATTAAAATATGAAAAGTGAATGTAAATAACATTTACTTGCACAGCAAAATTCTAAAAGCATTTGAAGCTAAAAAATAATAATGAATAATAATAAATAATAATATACAACACATTATAGATGAATATCTGTATGTGAGAGATCACTCATGAACAGCATGTATTAAGACCTTAATAAATGTGTCCATAATCTCAGCTTGAAAAGATTCTACAGCATACAGGCTGATAAAAAGAACTCCCATCGCCCATCCAGTACTGGAGATCACGAGGGAACCTGTTCCCAAGATCTCCTTGGATGATCAGGCTGCCCTAGCTATATTAGGTGAATTATACAGGATAACACTGGCCTCTTGGAATCTACTGATCCCTCCAAGTCTAAAGCTCATTTCTTTACTCAACATCTCATGTCATCTCCTCCTATCAAACACATTATTTTAAGTCCCAAATCCAATTTTTACCCCACACAACCTAAAGGTCCATGCCTGGAATCGTTCTATCACATGGTATATTCCAAATTGCTAGATATGTCTTCCAATAATCCCAAAGTCAAACCCTGGGATCATAATCTTTCTGTACATGAACAGAAAGCCTTGGCGTCGCTAATCATCAACCATGACTTGGTTATAAAATCTGCTGATAAAGGTGGTGGTATAGATGTACAAAACAGAGATGAATACACTGCTGAGGAACTTAGAATACTTTCCGACAAACATACATATACCAAACTAAAACAGGATCCATTAGCTGTCTTCACTAATGAAGCTAAGACCTTGGTTAATCAGGCCCTTACTGAGAAGACAATTTTCTTTCTTAAAGAATTTCACCATACCCCGTATTTCTACAATACTGGGCGGTCGCCGGTGGGGAATCACCGTCCGGGACCCAGTGATCAACAGCTGAGGCCGCCAATGGCGTCGTGAGTAGGGCGTGCGTGCACGGCTCACACATGCCCCCTACTCAGAAATGCAAAATCACGTAAATATATGTGATTTTGTGCAGCCCTACCGCCCTGTAGAAGTGTTTCTGCTATATGGTGGTGGGAAAGTGGTTATTGATATGTTTCTTGTAGAACCATGGACATTTTAGATGAATTCCCCACCATTTTAGATGAATTCTCCACTGGCAATGGCTTGGACACCCAGCAAAAAAAGTGTCCCTAGAAACTTCTTTGAAATGTTGGAAACTATGGAATCAGGCCTTAGGGCAGTATGGGCCCAGGGCCAAATGTCTGAAATGCAAACGTTAGTATAGGGTTGTCACCTTATCCCTTTAAAACCGAATACATAGTATTTACACAGGTTCTGTGGCTGATTAAGGTGCTAATTAAACTCACCTGAATGCCTTATCTGAATTAAATTAACCTCAGAATTCGTGTAATTAACCAGTTACCGACCGTGCTATAGCCAAAAGAAGGCTACAGCGCGGTTGGCTAGTTCTGTGAGGGTGTCCATGGACGTCCAGGGGTGCGCACTGCGTGATCTGTGGTCGCTGTGTCCTTCAGACACAGCTGATCGTATGACCAGGGAACGGGCCAATCACAGCCGCTTTTACCATGTGACCAGCTGTGTCCAATCACAGCTGATCACGGGGTAAATAAAAAATGCTGATTATCGGCAGTCCTCTCCTCACACTGACAGCACGTGAAGATAGGAGAGCCATTAAGTGGCATTTTGCCAGGGGACATCTACACTAATCATCAGGACACTGATCATCAGTGTGCTGGTGATGAGCATAGCCTCCTCAGTGCAGCCAATACTGCCCATCAGTGCTGGCAATCGGTGCCCATCAGTTGAATCAGTGCAGCCTATCAGTGCCCATCAGTGCCACCTAACATTGCCCATCAGTCAAGGAGAAAAATGACTTATTTACAAAACTTTATAACAGAAATTAAGAAAAACATTTTTTTTTCTTAATTTTTGGTCTTTTTTTGTTTGTTTAGCAAAAAAATGAAAAAACCCCAGTGGTGATCAAATGCCACCAAAAGAAAGCTCTACTTGTCTAAAAAAAAATAATAAAGTGTTGCATGACCACGCACTTGTCAGTCAAAGTATGAGAGCGCTGAAAGCTGAAAATTTGCCTGGGCAGGAAGGGGGTGAGAGTACCCGGTAGGCAAGTGGTTAATATGTATTTGGTTTTAAGGGGATGAGGTGGCAACCCTACATCAGTAGCATTTGGTGCACCATCCAGGTAGTCACAGAGTTTTACCAGCTTCCTGCAGCGGGTCTGGACTGTGCGCCTGTGCCTTCCGGCCACATCTAAATCCCAGAGTCCTTTGCAATGGGGATAAACACCCAACATACACTTGGCCTTAACAGGCTCCATGTCACTGAAGATGCTCCCCGCTGTGTAGGATAGCAGTGCAGCCGCAGTGTCCAGGCCTGGGAGCACGCTAACACGGAGCTGTACTGAGGACGGACTGCAGCATCCAGGCCCAGGAGCTCCCTGACATCAAGCTGTACCGAGGACAGACTGCAGCGTCTGGGCCTGTGAGCTTTCCGACACCGAGCTGTTCCGAGGACAGACTGCAGCGTCCAGGCCTGGGAGCTTGCTGACACCGAGGACAGACTGCAGTGTCCGGGCCTGGGAGTTCGCTGACACCGAGGACAGACTGCAGTGTCCGGGCCTGGGAGCTTGCTGACACCGAGGACAGACCGCAGTGTCCGGGCCAAGGAATTCGCTGACACCAAGCTGTACCGAGGACAGACTGCAGTGTCCGGGCCTGGGAGCTTGCTGACACCGAGGACAGACCGCAGTGTCCGGGCCAGGGAATTCGCTGACACCAAGCTGTACCGAGGACAGACTGCAGCGTCCAGGCCTGGGAGCTTGCTGACACCGAGGACAGACTGCAGTGTCCGGGCCTGGGAGTTCGCTGACACCGAGGACAGACTGCAGTGTCCGGGCCTGGGAGCTTGCTGACACCGAGGAGAGACTGCAGCATCCGGGCCTGGGAGCTTGCTGACACCGAGGACAGACCGCAGTGTCCGGGCCAGGGAATTCGCTGACACCAAGCTGTACCGAGGACAGACTGCAGCGTCTGGGCCTGGGGGGCTCGCTGACACCGAGCTGTACCGAGGACAGACTGCAGCGTCCGGGCCTGGGGGGCTCACTGACACCGAGCTGTACCGAGGACAGACTGCAGCGTCCAGGCCCGGGAGCTCGCTGACACCGAGGACAGACTGCAGTGTCCGGGCCTGGGAGTTTGCTGACACCAAGCTGTACCGAGGACGGACTGCAGCGTCCGGGCATGGGAGTTCGCTGACACCGAGCTGTACCGATTACAGACTGCAGCGTCCAGGCCCGGGAGCTCGCTGACACCGAGGACAGACTGCAGTGTCCGGCCCTGGGAGCTTGCTGACACCGAGGACAGACTGCAGTGTCCGGCCCTGGGAGCTTGCTGACACCGAGGACAGACTGCAGTGTCCGGCCCTGGGAGCTTGCTGACACCGAGGACAGACTGCAGTGTCGGGCATGGGAGTTCGCTGACACCAAGCTGTACCGAGGACGGACTGCAGCGTCCGGCCCTGGGAGCTTGCTGACACCGAGGACAGACTGCAGTGTCCGGGCCTGGGAGTTTGCGGACACCGAGAACAGACTGCAGTGTCCGGCCCTGGGAGCTTGCTGACACCGAGGACAGACTGCAGTGTCCGGCCCTGGGAGCTTGCTGACACCGAGGACAGACTGCAGTGTCGGGCATGGGAGTTCGCTGACACCAAGCTGTACCGAGGACGGACTGCAGCGTCCGGGCCTGGGAGCTTGCTGACATCGAGGACAGACTGCAGTGTCGGGCATGGGAGTTCGCTGACACCGAGCTGTGCCAAGGACAGACTGCAGCGTCCCGGCCCGGGGGCTTGCTGACACCGAGCTATACCGAGGACAGACTGCAGCATCCGGGCATAGGAGTTCGCTGACACCGAGCTGTACCGAGGACGGACTGCAGCGTCCGGGCCTGGGGGGCTTGCTGACACCGAGCTGTACTGAGGACAGACAGTCCAGTATACTGTAGACTCCCCGACCTCAGCGCCACCGTTCGGCTGGCCATACACTATACAATTTTCTGTCCAATTTCTGCCCAATTTCCTTTAGATTTACCTTCAAGTGCGTAGTGCAAGGGCCTGCCTAATTGGATACAACTGAAAGTGTTGTTTGGGTTTGACTTCATATTATATGGTTTTTGGTAAATCTAAAGCAATTTTCTAAAGAAAATTGTATAATGTATGGCCAGCCTTCCTCCTCGTGTCTTCCTGAGGCAGCCGCTCTATTGGCCTCAGGAGCAGCACGGCCCTGCATGCAGCCATGACTAGAGTACACGCGTGTAGACATGAAGGGGCGCAGAAATTCATACAACAGAAGATTAAAAAAAAGTTCTAAGTACCTAACATAAACACGTATGTGCAGGATAAACAGGGCTTTAGAACAAGCGTATTGAACGTTTACATAGACTAGTAGTAGAAATTACAAGTTGAATGACCCATTACAGGAATACCATCTACACTGCTATACTATGAACTGCCCTCACTGCCACTCATCCTGTACATGCAGCGCTGCGCCACACCTTTCTACAGAAAACCAACGGAACATCTGTTCCAGCTCTGGTTAGAACATTGTAGTCAATAAAGCTCGATGGAGGGGGGGGGAGCGTGACGTCCGGACGCACGTACCAAAAGTGTCAAAGTTAGAGGGCGTACGGAATCCATCTTTGTTAAGGGCAATTGGGGCATCCAGTAGAGGGCACAGCATGGTGTTCCTAAGTTTGTCGCGCTGGATTCGGAACCGAGGTGCGGATCGGTACTGGAAGGTTCAGGAGGTGCTCAAACATGCTCGGGTAAGTCAGATGGACACGGAGGACCTGTCTGAGGGGAGTGATGAGCTCTGTGACCCCGGAGATGCCCTGTGTGCCTCTTCCTGCATGCTGCTTCCAGTCATCGTCCTGCCTGACAGATAGCTGGAATGGCCTGCATTGGGATGCATGAAACCGGGGCAATCCGATTTGACAGCTGTCATTGAGATGTGTGGTTTGTTCGTGCGTTCTGCCATCAGATGTAGAGGTGAGTGGAGTCTGTATTTATATATCCACAATAGAACCATCCGCACTGTGCTGAGCAAGAAGCTGCCTGGACTCCACCTCATCCCTTTCAACCCAGGGGCGGACTGACCATTCAAGCACTGGGGCACTGCCGCAGGGCCCAGGGTCAGTAGGGGGCCCCATGAAATGCCCCTGGTACCTTTTTATAGGCTTTTTTTGGGTGTGCTTTGAGTGTGGGCAAAGACACAGGGGCCCCATGATCCCCTATTGCCCGGGGGCCCCATGAATTGTCAGTCTGCCCGTTTCAACCCGAACACATATTAATGACACAGGTTCTGGGGCTGATTAAGGTGGTAATTAAACTCACCCAGTGCCTTATCTGCATGAAATCATCCTTACAACCTGTGTCATTAATATGTGTTCGGGTTTAAAGGGATGAGGTGGCAAATCTAACTCCGCCTGCTCCAGAGTGTGCTCAACGTGGACAATTAACCATCCGACCCATCCCATTCTTACTTCGCTCTATAAGGTTTAATGATTTTGTGGTCCTATAAGATACATAAGAAGTTCTCTGTTTTTGCAAAGCTTAGTATAAAGGTGCGTGCACAAGACAGGCTTTATAACAACCCGCTCTGTCCCACCCGGTCTACGCACCGTCCCACCCGGTCTACGCACCGTCCCACCCGGTCTACCTGCACCGTCCCACCCGGTCTACGCACCATCTACAGCTTATAACATCCTTTGTCGACCATTCCTCTGTGGACCGCTAAGGTTCCTGCAAAAGTTGCCAGGGGTTCCTTGAGCAATGAGCAGTTTCTGCCTCTCAGATAAGCTACCACTGATACCATTAGTTTTTTTCACTTATCTGTGAGGGACATTTGTCCCGCTGACCACCAATGTAGGAGCGTTCTTCCCGCTGACCCCCAATGTAGGAGCGTTCTTCCCGCTGACCCCCAATGTAGGAGCGTTCTTCCCGCTGACCGCCAATGTAGGAGCGTTCTTCCCGCTGACCGCCAATGTAGGAGCGTTCTTCTACCCGCTGACCGCCAATGTAGGGGCGTTCTTCCCGCTGACCGCCAATGTTCTTCCCGCTGACCGCCAGGAGCGTTCTTCCCGCTGACCGCCAATGTAGGAGCGTTCTTCCCGCTGACCGCCAATGTAGGAGCGTTCTTCCCGCTGACCGCCAATGTAGGAGCGTTCTTCCCGCTGACCGCCAATGTAGGAGCGTTCTTCCCGCTGACCGCCAATGTAGGAGCGTTCTTCCCGCTGACCGCCAATGTAGGAGCGTTCTTCCCGCTGACCGCCAATGTAGGAGCGTTCTTCCCGCTGACCGCCAATGTAGGAGCGTTCTTCCCGCTGACCGCCAACGTGAGGAGCGTTCTTCCCGCTGACCGCCAAAGTAAGGAGAAACATTCTTCCCGCTGACCTCCAGCATAAGGAGAAACATTCTTCCCGCTGACCTCCAGCGTAAGGAGAAACATTCTTGATGCTGACCACCAACGTAAGGAGCATTCTTACCTCTGACCACCAACGTGATGAGCATTCTCGTTTCCAATTACCACCAATCTAAGGGAGCGCTAAAATGTTCAATGTCTGTGTGTCCTTTCTGACCACCAACGTGAGTAGCATTCTTCTCACTGACCAACATAAGGAGCATTCTTCCCGCTGACCACCAACATGAGGAGCATTCTTCCTGCTGACTATTAACGTGAGGAGCATTCTCTTTTCCAATTACCACCAATCTAAGGGAGAGCTAAAATGTTCACTGTCTGGGTTTCCTTTCTGACCACCAATGTTGAGTAGCATTCTGGCCGCCAACGCTTGCCGCTGGCCGCCAACGCGAGGAGCGTTCTGGCCGCCAACGCGAGGAGCGTTCTGGCCGCCAACGCGAGGAGCGTTCTGGCCGCTGGCCGCCAGCGTAAGGAGAAACATTCTTGACGCTGACCACCAACGTAAGGAGCATTCTTACCTCTGACCACCAACGTGATGAGCATTCTCGTTTCCAATTACCACCAATCTAAGGGAGCGCTAAAATGTTCACTGTCTGTGTGTCCTTTTGACCACCAACGTGAGTAGCGTTCTTCCCACTGACCACCAACATAAGGAGCATTCTTCCCGTTGACCACCAACGTGAGGAGCATTCTTCCCGCTGACCACCAAAGTGAGGAGGAACATTCTTTACGCTGACCACCAACATGAGGAGCATTTTCTTTTGCAATTGCCACCAATCTAAGGGAGCACTAAAATGTTCACTGTCTGTGTTTCCTTTCTGGCCATTATTATCATTTGTTTAATTTCATTATTGTTACTAAAAAATATATTTTTGCATCCTTGGGAGCCACATAGACCACATTCCTAATTCTTTTGTTTATCTTTATAACCTCAAGTCACTGTTCATGCTAATGTCTATTGAGGTGTAAATATAATAATTAGTAGGTGTTCCATAAGACCTGGAAATTAATTTATAGTATATCTAATCACTCACCTTGTAAAACAACCCATTCAGTTTAAAATAGAAATGAAAGGTAAAACCTTTTGTATATGCTTATAAAAAAAAATTATAGATACCTTTTTTTTCCAGTTTTATATAAGTGATCACCCTTTGTTCATCTGCATAGAGAGGTGAGGGTAGCGAAACAGCAGCACACTGATCTTCCCAGTGAATGGCTGTGAGGAGGGGGGGGGGGGGGGGAGAAGAGGAGAGCAGGCTAAGTTCTTGGCACAGCCAGAACATTGACCACACTGTACTTTCCTGCATAGTGTGATCAGTGTTTAACAAGACCACCAATAGGCCTATCTAACTAATTTACCAAAAGCGCAGAATAGGAAAAACATCTTAATAGTGTTTTTACAATAGTATATGTAAAGCTCAACGCCACCTTTTTCTACCCACCCCCTCCCTGAAGTCCAGTACTGACTGGCCCCAGGTAATCTTCCACTTATCATTGGCGGTGGGTGCTCCTACACTCAGCGATGTTTGTATAATGGTGCTTATTTGCTGTTCTGAGCAGCAATATGGTGATCTCAGACTGGCATGATGATGCACTCCCAGGAGGCAAGTCTATGACTGCCTGGGCTCAGAGGTGACACTGGGCTCCTTCCATCCCAGAAGAGAATTGGCACCGCACCACAGAGTGATGAGTCTTCAAGGACAGCCCTGGGGAGGAGATGAGTATTTCAGCAAAATCTGCATTTATTTGTTTATTTATTTTTCTCACGTGGGAAAATTGATTTTTTATTTAAGAAGATTTCATTTAAATTATGGCAAAAACCTACATTCTTACAACTAATTTTCTTCATTTGCAGCATTTTCGAGGCCGAAAGAATCGTTGTTATACCTTGGCAATACGAGCTGTGCGCAGAGCCTTTGTATATTCAACAAAAGCCAGAAAAGTAAAGCCCCGCATCATGAGAACGGTAGAGTGCAATATTGTGTTCTTAACGTTTTGATAAAGGTAGAGGCCTTGCTTGTGTTCATTTGCAAATGTTTGTGGCAGCTACATGCAATTTACGATGCTCCTTCGGAAATGTCTTCCTTAATGCATCATGTACTGACCTTGGGACAAATCTAGTAATGGCTAGATACTGCTAAATAGAAAAATGATCACTGTTTTACCATCCTGAGGATTTGTAATTTTGCCCAACCAAACCAGTCTTGTGTTTTATACACATCTACTTCACAGGCAGGTAGGTGACCTACTTTTTTCCTGAATTAGGATGACAGCTTCCAGGATCACCTCTTCCCATTCAGCCTGTTCCCTAGACAATGAGTCAGCATCATCCTGTCCTAAACTGAACCAGGTAGTTGGTGTGTACACCATAAAGCCTTGTTCATGCAGACTTCAACTTGTCCTCCAAGACAGTGTGTGTATAGCAAGCTTTCATCAAACTTTGTTGAAACCTGTAGAAAAAAAAGTCAGTCCCAGTATAGGGATGTGTCATTCCACTTTCGTGGGGGGGGGAAATGGCAAAATAAAAATACAAATGTACAAATGCGACTCAAGTCATATTGTATTTGAATGGTCTTATAAATTGGCTTTCCTTTTCAATTTGCAACATTGGAATTTTCTGTAAAATACAATGGAAAATGGTGATCTGGAGGCATTCTGTACACAGATGATGTACAGAACGCACCCTAGAAATGTCATTTCCTGTTTGTGAGAATGGCTGATTTTCCCAGAAGTCTACACTAAGATACAAGTCAGATTTTGGCCATCCCCTGCAACTATTAGGTCATTTTTGGTGAGAAACTCCCATAGGGAAATCATGTTTAAAGGGATGTAGACCCTGCAACTTTCCTCATTAGAGCCCCGCAAATGCAGCAGCTGATTGATGATTATGAAATCACTCTCATTCACATTCATTTTGCACATGGACACAGAGAAATAGCTATTTCCTCAGGTTAACAAAAGGTAGGAATCTGCAGCAAAGTCTTTTAAAATCCTTGCAATGTACACAGATCACCCAGAGGGGAATGTTTTTTTTTTAATTCTTCTCAATAAAAGTGGAGTTACTTTTTAAAGTGTCACTGAAATCCCACTATAAGAAACAGCAAGTAGGCAGGCGTTTATTGCAGAAGAGACATGCACTATCTCTTCTTCAATAAAATGCCTCTACGTGCCTGCTTGCTTTCTTCTGCGATGCTGTAAACTGAGCTGCACATATACAGCTCAGCCTACAGTACCAGGCCAGTCTCTGAGTGCCAGGATGACTAGCTCCTGTGCAGGCGCAAGAGTGATGCCATCACATGCCAGCCAATGAAGAGACCTAAAGACCTGCACTCATAAAAAGATTCGGGCACCAGCATTGGACTGTTTGGACACGTAAGTATTCACCCTTTAGTTCCACTTTAATGGCAGCACGGACTGTCTCCTTAACCACTGCTGGTGCAGCGCTACCTAAAATTACCACTATTATTTATACCGAATTCCATCATAAAAATACCAACAAAAAGTGTTGGGGAAAAATAAATCAGCATATAGATATTTTAAAACAATTATGTGCATTAATGATAGTACACCTTCACCATGAAAAAAACAATCACAGAAAAGTCCAAAGCAAGTTCCCTAACAGTGTTCCACTTTTATCTTGGTTATAATTCCAAAGACTTCTTCCTTGTTCACCTTTCATCACATTGTGCATTCTCTATGCTCCCAGCTTAGATTCTGACCTATATAAACACATAAATCAAGACAGTTTTCCCCAGCCAGGGGACCGAGTGCTCCAGATTTCTTCCTCTCACACTTCCAGGGTTGTGCTGTTCTCCTCCAGGAGGCTTCTCTTTAGAATGTTTCTCCGTTCCTCCTCCCTTATGTTAACAGATGGCTCTCATAGTGCTGATAACCAGTCCTTCTTTAAAATACATAAGAACACTTGCTTTGTCCTGCGCTCACTTTAAGTAGCTAATGCTATTTACATTGTCAGTCATTTTCCTATTTTCCGTTATTTCTGGTTTCTTAGCCATCTCACCTAACTGATGGAACACTCTCACCCTTTAACCTTTCATTGAAAGAGTAAAACTTGTACACCGGACTATGGGCTTATTATTCCCGGTCCTTGTGTATTATTCTACAATATCACATCTTATTACAGAGTTTTGAAGTACCCAGGAAAACATTATGGTTCTCTTGTAACTTAAGCCAGGCATAGATGATTCGAATCTCAGCTGGCTTAGCGGAGACCAGCTGAGATTTGATCCTTGTATGAGCAGGCTGTTGAAATTAACTTGATCCATCGATCAACTTGGGTACAACCAGCATGTTGGATTTTTAGTATATGATTATTACCAGCGGCTATAGCCACTAGCAATTACTGTGTTCTCCCGGAAGTGACCGCTCCCCATGCACCCAATCCCCATACAAAGCCCCATTAAAGCCATGTGAATGAAGCCTATAAAAGAAGGGAGTACAGCTACATTATAATTCAGTACAAGTGGATCAGGAGTTATAACATCAGACCAGTAGCAAAAGACACGTCAGGAATGTTATATCCCCTATAGGGCATAACATACAGACGAGTTATAGCATCACCCTAATACTGCACACGTCAGGAAAGTTAGATCGTATATAGAGTCATATAAGAGATACTGTATGGCTAGTACAGTGGTTTAGGTCTTAGCATGCCTGCCTTGCAGCACTGGGGTCCTAAGTTCAAATCCCAACATGGGCACTAAGGCCCAAGTCACACCTGTGTTTTGTAGTGCGAAGCTCCAAAATGCTCAGGGGAAAAGAAAATCAATATTACTCTAGTCGTCTGAGCTTTTGTAGCTCTAATTGGGCAGATTTGCACGTTTTTGGCTCATTTTTATTCCTGTAGAAAAGAATAGAAATGTGCGATTGGTGCATTTTTTTGTAATATATGAATAAATTAAATGTAGAGTAAATTGACATATAAATGAAAAATCATGATTAATAAATAATAATTAACCCCTAACCTTAATAAAATATATGAAATAAATTATTATTATAAAAAACACCCAAACAAAAGAAATACAATAATTATTATTGTTATTATTTTATTACTTTTATAAAGGTTAGGGGGTTAAGGTTATGGGTTTATTATTATTATTATTTATTATTACATAGTATTTATGATTATTTTTGTATTTTACATTTATTAATTTTATCATTATTATTATTATTATTATTATTGTATTTTTTTTGTTTGGGTTTAGGTGTTTCTTCTTATGTATTTAATATTTTTTTAAAGGATTAGGGGGTTAAGGTTCGGGGTTAATTATTTATATATGTATTATTACATAGTATTTGATTTTTTTTTTTTTTTTTTAAGTTTTATTTTTTTTACATTTATTATCATCATTATTATTAACACCCTAACCCTAACAAAAATAAATAAAAAGAAAAATAAATACAATACTAACCATAACCCAAACCCTAATCCTAACCCTAACCTTTACTCCAACCCTCTTACCCTAACAAAAAACAAAATAATAAATTAACAATAATATTAAAAAAAGAAATAAAAGCTGATGGAAAAGCTAAAGATGCAGAAAAACCTAGCGTCAAATAATGCAACAGATGAGATTTTTCTCTATTGGCTAATAAAAAAAAAAAAGCTCAAAAATGGCTAAAAACGCTGTATGAAAATGCGCAAAAATCGTGGTAAAATATGCATCTAAAACCCGCTAAACTCAGATGTGAATGGAGCCTAACTGTGCCGTGTTTGCATATTCTCCCTGTGCCTGGAAGCACATGCTGATTAGGTTAATTGACTCCTGTTTATAAATTGGCCGTGTATGCATGTGATGTCAGCACCTTGTAAGCTCCTTGGGGCAAAGACTGATGTGAATGTACACACATATGTGATTAGTCCATGCTATATAATATAGTACCTGTAATAGTATATAGATGAGTTATAGCATCGTTCTGTAATAGTATATAGATGAGTTATAGTTATAGCATCGTTCTATAACATCAGGAAGGTTAGATTCCTTTATAGTAGCTGGGGACACTATAGGGATTTTTCACCCTGATGTTCTAAGTGCAGACATGTCAGGGAGGTGAGATGATATATAAGAGGTTATAATGTAAAGAAGTATGATAACAGCAGGGTAATGCTATATACTGTATATCTGCAGACCGCAGGAATGTTGCATGTGTATCAGAGCTCCATAGCATGCGGTATAACTCTACAAATATACCAGTGGAGAGAACCAGAGGAATAATGAGGGATAACTTGTCTGGCTGAACGTAGACAGTATTTCTACCTCCTGCTGTGACCCGTCCACACACTGAATGTAATGATTTCTGCCCTCCCCACCCCAAACATAACTGCCCCATGCTCCGCAGACCAACTCACCCGCCTTCCGTTCTCCACTCTGAGCTTCCCCCTCCCCTTCCAAACTGCATGCAGCTCATGGCACTGCTCCGCCCCCTGAGCAAGCCAGCAATGTGGCACCCATTCCTCCAGCAATCCTGCCCACTTCACACTTCTTATTCCACTATGTACATGCCCCCACACTATTGTACAGATCGTGGCTGCATGTAGGAATCCAAGCTCACAGCTATGTGCTGTGTTAGGAGGAGCGCTGGTGCCTGTGCCTTCTCTGCGTGCAGGGATAAGAAATGAAACTCAGCAGTCGGGCACAGGAGGCTTTGGGGGGGGGGGGCACAAGTGACATCTGGGAGGGTCCAGCCCACCTCAGCACCTCCCTAGATCCAGCCAGGTATAAAATAGATTGAATAGTCGAGACTAACATCTAAAGATTGATGGAACTGTTGAAACCAGGATCTAAAATTAGATCCAGGTCTAAATATAGATTGAACAGTTGAGACCAGGATCTAAAAATAGATCCATGTTTACAAATCGCTTGAACTGTTGAGATCAGGATCTAATAATAGATCCAGTTCTAAAATAGATCTAACAGTTAAGATCAGGATCTAACAATAGATCGGGGTTAAAAAAACTGACTGAACTGTTGACACCAGGGTCTAAAAATAGCTGGAACACTTGAGACCAGGGTCTAAAAATAGCTCCAGGATCTTAAAATAGATTGCACAGTTGAGGCCAGGTTCTAACAATCGATTCAGGATCTAACAATCGATTCAGGATCTAACAATCGATTCAGGATCTAACAATCGATTCAGGATCTAACAATCGATTCAGGATCTAACAATCGATTCAGGATCTAACAATCGATTCAGGATCTAACAATCGATTCAACACTTGAGACCAAGATCTAACAATAGATTCAGGATCTAAAATTAGATCGAACACTTGAGACCAGGATCTAAAGATAGATTCCGCATCTAAAGATAGATCAAACAGTTCAGACTAGGATCTAAAATAAATCTGGGATTGAAAAATAGAGTGAACAGTTGCGACCAGGATCTCAACATAGATCAGACAGTTGCGACCAGGATCTCAACATAGATCAGACACCAGTTGCGACCAGGATCTCAACATAGATCAGACAGTTGCGACCAGGATCTCAACATAGATCAGACAGTTGCGACCAGGATCTCAACATAGATCAGACAGTTGCGACCAGGATCTCAACATAGATCAGACAGTTGCGACCAGGATCTCAACATAGATCAGACAGTTGCGACCAGGATCTCAACATAGATCAGACAGTTGCGACCAGGATCTCAACATAGATCAGACAGTTGCGACCAGGATCTCAACATAGATCAGACAGTTGCGACCAGGATCTCAACATAGATCAGACAGTTGCGACCAGGATCTCAACATAGATCAGACAGTTGCGACCAGGATCTCAACATAGATCAGACAGTTGCGACCAGGATCTCAACATAGATCAGACAGTTGCGACCAGGATCTCAACATAGATCAGACAGTTGCGACCAGGATCTCAACATAGATCAGACAGTTGCGACCAGGATCTCAACATAGATCAGACAGTTGCGACCAGGATCTCAACATAGATCAGACAGTTGCGACCAGGATCTCAACATAGATCAGACAGTTGCGACCAGGATCTCAACATAGATCAGACAGTTGCGACCAGGATCTCAACATAGATCAGACAGTTGCGACCAGGATCTCAACATAGATCAGACAGTTGCGACCAGGATCTCAACATAGATCAGACAGTTGCGACCAGGATCTCAACATAGATCAGACCGTTGCGACCAGATCTCAACATAGATCAGACCGTTGCGACCAGGATCTCAACATAGATCAGACCGTTGCGACCAGGATCTCAACATAGATCAGACCGTTGCGACCAGGATCTCAACATAGATCAGACAGTTGCGACCAGGATCTCAACATAGATCAGACAGTTGCGACCAGGATCTCAACATAGATCAGACAGTTGCGACCAGGATCTCAACATAGATCAGACAGTTGCGACCAGGATCTCAACATAGATCAGACAGTTGCGACCAGGATCTCAACATAGATCAGACAGTTGCGACCAGGATCTCAACATAGATCAGACAGTTGCGACCAGGATCTCAACATAGATCAGACAGTTGCGACCAGGATCTCAACATAGATCAGACAGTTGCGACCAGGATCTCAACATAGATCAGACAGTTGCGACCAGGATCTCAACATAGATCAGACAGTTGCGACCAGGCTCATAAAATAGCTCCAGGCTCTAAAAATTGATGCAGGATGTAAAAATAGATCAAACAGTTTAGACCAGGATCTAAACATATATTGAACCGTTTAAATCCGTTGAAACCAGGATCTAAAAATAGATCCATGTGTAAAAAAAGATTGAATAGTTGAGACTTGGATCTAAAAATAGATCTAGGATCGAGAAATTGATCCATGTATAAAAATAGATCCAGGATCTATCAATAGATCATGATCTAAAGATGGATCAAGCTGTTGAGACCAGAATCTTAAAATAGATCCAGGATATAAAAATAGATTGGACAGTGTAGACCAGGATCTAAAAATAGATCCAGGATCTTTGAAATAGATCTAACAGTTGAGATCAGGATCTAAAAGTAGATCAAGAAGTTAAGACCAGGCTCTTAAAATAGCTCCAGGATCTAAAAATAGATTGCAAAATTGAGACCAGGATCTACACATATGTCAGCCTGTTTTAGATCAGGATCTAAAAATAGATCTATGTTTAAAAATGGATCAAACAGTTGAGACCAGGATCTAAAAGTAGTTCCAGTGTTTAAAAACAGATCAAACAGTTGAGACCAGGATCTAAAAATAGATCCATGTCTAAAAATAGATTGGTTAAGATCAGCATCTAAAGATAGATCCAGGTTCTAAAGATAGATTGAACTTTTGAAGCCAGGATGTAAAAAAGGTCAATTAATTGAGACCAGGAATCTAAACATAGATTGAACAGTTCAGACCAGGATCTACAAATAGATTCAGGATCTATTTTTAGATCTAGGACGTATTTTTAGATCTTTGATCTAATAATAGATTCCTGATCTAAAAATAGATCGAGGATCTAAAATCAGTTGAGACCAGGATCTAAAAAATTAGAATCAATATTTTAAAAATCGATTGAACTGTTGAGACCAGGATCTAAAAGTAGTTCCAGTGTTTAAAAACAGGTCAAACAGTTGAGACCAAGATCTAAAAATAGATCCATATCTAAAAATAGGTTGAATATTTGAGATGAGCATCTAAAGATAGATCCAGGATCTATCAAACTATTGAAAATTGGGATCTAAAAATAGCTCCACATCTAAACATAGATTGAACAGTTGAGACCAAGATCTAAAAATAGATCCATATCTAAAAATAGGTTGAATATTTGAGATGAGCATCTAAAGATAGATCCAGGATCTATAGATCAAACTATTGAAATTGGGATCTAAAAATAGCTCCACATCTAAACATAGATTGAACAGTTGAGACCAAGATCTAAAAATAGATTGAAAAATTACAGTATCCAAACACAGTGTGGTGAATGTGAGGATATATACAAAGCTCCCAAGTGCCGCGTCCTAATAAAGCTATTGAAATAAACAAACAGGGAGAGAAGGCCATAGAATGGACTTTATTGGCACTGCAACAATGTTCATTAAAATTGTTACTTTATTGAGTATACAAAAATATGCAGCAATTAGTAAAAACATCTGCAGAGTGTAGTTCCCCAATTGGATGATCCACACTGTGCAGTTACTAATCTCGTAGGTACATAAAGTGTTAATGTATACAAATATATCATATCCTGGTAAAGGTGTAAAGGGACATATTCTGATGTCAATGGCTATAGTGACTCAACATGTTTCGCCAAGATCTCTTCAGGATTTACTACATAAGAGAAAAGTTGGTGTAAATTTTGACATAACATATGTTTACCCATTATTTGACATAGAAATTATTAAATTGGGTATACCTTAATACACAGGCATCATAGCGGGGGTTGGGGAGGGGAATCTGAGCCCTTACAGCCAAGGCAAATTAACTTTATTAATTTCTATGCCAAATAATGGGTAAACATATGTTATGTCTAAATTTACACCAACTTTTCTCTTATGTAGTAAGTCCTGAAGAAGAGATATCGTCAAAAAACATATATAGCCATTGACATCAGAATATGTCCCTTTACCGGATACGGTATATTTGTATGCATTAACACTTTATCTACCTACGAGATTTGTAACTGCATAGAGTGGATCATCCCATTGAGGGACTACACACTCTGCAACAACGTTCATTAAAATTGTTACTTTACTGAGTATACAAAAATATGCAGCAATTCGTAAAAATATTTGCAGTGCCTATAAAGCCTATTCTATGGCCTTCCCTCCCTGTTTGTTTGTTTATTTCAATAGCTAAAAATAGATTGAACAATTTAGACCAGGATCTAAAAATAGATTTTAATAGTTGAGAGCAGGATGTTCCAGGATACAAATCCAAATACATGATGTGAACCCCCCTTTTTTATTTTCTTCTTCTAACAGAGATATCCTAGTTACAGTAGATTGTACAGTATGAAGTGAAAGAGTGGATTTAGTATGCATTGCTTACTAATCATTGATTTTATACCTTTCAGATGTGGATAACGCGAATCACTGGTGCGCTTCAGGAACATGGCATGAAGTACCACAACTTTGTTGGTAATTTAGTAAAAGTGAGTTTCTGATTTTCAGATATGTTTAACCACATGTCACCCAGCCACTGTAGAAATACGTTGGCAGGGTAGCACGGCTGGGCCAAACCACATTTTAAAATGTGTGTTTGCAAAACAGGTAGGGGGCGTGCGTGAGGCGCGCCACCGCTCTACCTGTCCTGCCAATCATGGCCGCGGATGTCAGTCACCGGTTCACAGCCGGTCGTTACTGGCTGTGTCCCGCCGATTAGCGGCAATCACTGACCGAGAGCAGGGCTGCAGTAGCTCTGCTTTCTGTCAGTTCCCTGTCAACTCCTGACATGCTGAGCCAGAGAGAAGAGTTTATCTCTCCCGATCAGCGTGTCCCGTGCAGTACACACCCCCGCCCCCTAGTAAAACACTCCCCTCACACAGTTAACCCTTTCAGTAAATAAAAAAGTTAACTCCTTCCTCCCCAGTGCCATTAGTACAGTGTCAGTGTTTTTTTTTCTTTGCACTGATCACTGTATTGGTGTCACTGGAGATGTCAGTGACCCCAAGTCAGTTCCCCCCCAGTGTCAGAATGTCCGCCGCAGTCCCGCCATAAGTCACTGATTGCCGCCATTATTGGTATAAAAAAAAAATTAAAAATCCCAGTATCTTTCCCGCCATTTGTAAACGCTATAACTTTCACGTAAACCAATTAATTTACACGTATTGGGTTTTTTTTTTAGCAAAGACGTCGCAGAATGCATTTTGGCTGAAATGTATGACGAAATTTGATTTTTAATTTTTTTTTACTGGACATGTTTTATAGCAAAAAGTCCAAAATATTGTTTTTTTTTTTCTCAAAATTGTCAGCCTTTTTTTTTTATAGCGCAAAAAATAAACGCACAGGCGATCAAATACCACCGAAAGAAAGCTCTAATTGTGTGAAAAAAGGACATAAATTTAATTTATGTATTGGATGACCGCGCAATTGTCCGTTTAAACTAGCGCAGAGCTGTATAGCAAAAAAAAAAAGGCGTAAATTGCAGTATCTATACCATAGTTTGTAGACGCTATAACTTTCACACAAAGCAATCAATATACACTTATTGGGATTTTTTTTTTACCAAAAACATGTAGCAGAATACATTTTGGCCTACATTTATAACTAATTTTGAGTTTACTATATATTTTTATAGCTAAACGTGAAACATTTTCATTTTTCTTCAATATTTTTGGTCTTTTTTTGTTTATAGCGTGAAAAATAAAAAGCGCACAGGTGATCAAATACCACCGAAAGAAAGCTCTATTTGTGTGAAAAAAAGGACGTAAATTTAGTTTGGGTGCAGCATTGCATGACCGCGCAATTATCAGTTGAATTAGTGCAGCGCCGAGTAGCAAAAAGAGGCCTGGTCATTAAGGGGGGGTAAATCCTCAGGAGGGCAAGTGGTTAAAACTTGTGTGAGTTTTTCATACAAAATTACTAACAAGCATTTACAGACTCAAAAAACCTTTTGTTTCATAAAGAATAGGTAAACTCAAGAACAAAAATGTAATATATTGCAGCTTATCAGTTCTTTGATGTGATGGCAGGATTAGTTTTCTTATTTTTTAGATTTAGGTGTCCGTTTATGACACAGAGAATAGATGAGACTCAGAGGATCGCAGCTATTCTCTGGTCATTCACAGTTTATGTCACAGGAGATCAGCAGAGAACATGTTCAGCCCTTCACTGGAGATCTGTGTTCTCCCTCCAGATTCTCCAGCCCAGAGCTGGAGAATCGGAGGGACCACAAACTAAGCAGAGATAATTTACCTCTGCTTAGTAAACTGATCTTTTACTGTAATCTCGCGAGATTATAGTAAAATCAGCCGTTTTCCAGCGTTTGGAGACCGTTTTCCAGCGTTTGGAGACCGCTCTCCCTTCGTTCGGAGAACTGCTTCATAAAAGGCATTCACAGGAGAACTGTGTTCTCCGAGAATGCCGGAGAACTGAGCAGCGATCTATTACCGCTGGTTCATAAACAGACACCTAAGTACATTCTCTGCAAGTACCAAAAAGTTACCAATGATCCTACCAGGATTCCACTCTTCTCGTTCCTTCCTGTGAACTAAAGTCTCAAAACATTGTTATTTGTGAGTTTTCCTGTCAAGTTCTGTTAAATACAAAAGAATGCTTTCCTATGTAATGGAAATGAAGAAAGGAGGAGGGATTTGTAATTCAAATTAGGAGAACAACCTAGAGTGACAATGCTGTTCCATCTTGGATACAGTAGAGTGAGTGATTGTCATTCTAGGACAGGCACTGTGTTACTGCCAGGATAACCAGGTAAAGGAAAAGGGATAAATCCTGAAAATATAAAATGAATGGAGCCACCACATCCAAGGACTGGTAAACTGCAATATATTGCATTTTTGTTTTTGAGTTTAGATAAACATTAAACATGCATAAGAATCCTGTACAGTTTCTGGAATTCCTAAGGCTACAAAAATTGTACCTGTATAAGTCTAGGTTCTCACCTAAGCTTTTTGCAGTGCGTTTTGCATTTTGCAGAAACGCACTACAGTCCATTTAACATGATTTCCTATGGGACACGTTTACATCTCCTTGTTTTCACCCTGTGCGTTTTTTAGAAAGGGTTAGGGACTTTACTAAATGCAAAACGTTGCGTTTTTGGTTCGATAGACTTCAGTGGAGACGCTGCAGAAATGCATGTAGTGTGTTTTTGATGCGTTTTAATTTGCCCAGCAACAAGTTGGAAAAAAAGCAAAACGAATCAAAAATGCATAAAAAATTAATGTGGAAAAACGCACCTCAGAAATGGACCAAACGCAAACAGCATAGGTGTGAACATAGCCTCAAGCCTTGCATTCAGGTGAAATGTTGAAGAAAACGTGAGGGGTTTTTTTTCTTTTCGCTTTTTCTATCAGGTACACATAAAAGATGATTTTAATGTGAATAATTTAAACATTGTAGGCAAATATTTAAAACACACACATAAAAAAAATAAAATATCCAGTGAGTGGCAGTTGTGTGGGCAAAAATGCCTTGTTGATGTCAGAGGAGAATGGGCAGACTGTTTTAAGATGATAGAAAGGCAACAGTAACACAAATAACCACTCGTTACAACCAAGATATGCAGAACACCATCTCTGAACATACAACACATTGAACCTTGAAGCAGATAGTTTTGTTACAATGCATTAGTAGGTGTATCTTCAGGAGTGCTGATTAGGACAGGTGTTCTTTATTAACTAATACCTACATAAGACAGCACTTTTGTTGTTTTCTTTGTTATGATTAAGCATGAGATCGTGTGAAACGCATAAATAGCGGGGCCGGATTTAGCCTGTCTGATGTGGGGGTGCAGTAAAAAATGTTGGAGGGGCAGAGGATGTTAGTTCAGCAGGGCAGTGCACAAACGGTCAGCGGAGCAGAGGATAGAGTCATAAGTTTATAGGGCACTGTACAGAGACCATTAGCTTGTAAGGCAGTGTACAGGGTCTGCAGGGCAGAAGATGGGGGTCAGTAGAGCTGAAGAAGGATTCAGTATAGTATAGTGGCAGGTTAGTGTGGGTGGTAGTGGCAGAATAATTGCAGGTTGGGGCAGCGTAGTGGCGGGTTAGTGTGTAGTCGGGTGTGGGGCAGTGTAGTGGCGGGTTGGGGCAGTGTAGGGGGGTTGGGGCAGTGTAGTGGCGGGTTGGGGCAGTAGGTAGTGTCATGGTGTTACCTCATGGCTTGAAATCAGTCTCTCGGGCTGCTGTTTCCTCCTCCTCCTTCAACCACCAGATCAACCTCATTGACGGGGTCTGTGGGAGGAGTGGAGAAGACAGCCACACCTCCGGCTCCACCCACCAACTCCAGCTGCCTCGGGAGTCATTGTAGATCCCCATTGGACAACCTAAGCAGATTAGATGGCTGGGTGTTATAGGCATCCTCCCCCACCTTGCTGGGCTCCTTCGCTGCAGAGAGGGAAAATGCTGCTGTCTGAAGCAATGGTTCAGCGGCAAGGCACAGTGTCCAGAATGAAGGAGGGTGGCTGTTGGCTTTGAGGGGGTATGAGTGAAATCTGGGGGGGCGTAGCCCACCCCTGCACCCTCCTAGATCTGGCCATAGTTAACAGGTCCTGTATTCATGTCCTGGTGTTTTGTGTGTCCTATGATCAATAAATATACACTATATTCATCTATCCTCTGGTGTGCGGCTGACCCTTCTTTCTGTTGCATCGTGTGTGGTGGCGAACCAGAGCCTGCATCTGTCGTGAATTGATCCAAATTGTTTGCCTGAGCGGTATACCTCTGTTCTTGCAATTCATCCCTTTATTACTACAGTGTACCCATCTTCTGATGGCTACTTCCAGCAGGATAATGCACCATGTCACAAAGCTCAGATCATCTCAATCTGGTTTCTTGAACATGACAATGAGTTCACTGTACTCCAATGGCCTCCACAGTCACCAGATCCCAATCCAATAGAACACCTTTGGGAATGTTTTAGAACTGGAGATTCGCATCATAGATGTGCAGCTGACAAATCTGCAGCAACTGCGTGATGCTGTCTTGTCAATATGGACATAAATCTCTGAGGAATGTTGAACCTATGCCACAAAGAATGAAAGCAGTGCTGAAGGCAAAAGGGGGTCCAACCCGGTACTAGCAAGATGTACTTAATAAAGTGGCCAGTGGGGGGGGAATCCATATTGCTCATTAAGTAAAATGAAATGAAAAGCAAGTGCAGTGCTATGAAAATCTATTAATAAATCACATGTAAATGAATTTTACATACCATCTAAACTCAGACTTTCAATTTCAAGGACAAATCGCAAAATTTGTGTTGTGCAACTAACTAAAAACACAGTGCCAAAAAACAGAGCACACGCAGCTCACTGTGCAAATTCGGCAATGGCATATCTGACTGAACTCCTATGCATGTGCAGGAGTGACATCATCCCTGCCCGGCCAATAAAAGTGGCCAGCAATTGAGACCCAGAAGCTGACCAGGCAGGGATCTCTGGGACGCTGCATCGCTGGAGCCAAGGTGAGTATAGTTCTGCTTTATGGGGGAAAAAGTGAAAAAGCACATGGTAAGTGTTCACAGCATTATATTTAATCTACAACTGTTTATTGCTTCAAATTAAACACTGCAGAATTTCTAAATAACAAACATGTCCTACTTACTGTGCAGTGGTTTTGCACAGAGCAGCCCCAATCCTCCTCCCCTGCCAACGCTCTTTGCCCCTCCCTCCCAAGTGTCCTCACAACAATCAGCTTGCTATGGGGGCATCCAAGCAGGCTCGCTCCTGAGCCGCTGCCTTGTGTGTCCATTGCAGATCTGCGGCTCTGCCCTGTCCTTCCCTCTTCTCATTGGCTCACTGCCTGTGGTTGACAGCCAATGGCTCCCCCTGCTGTCTCAGCAAATAAGAAGGGAGAGTACTCGATCGCTGGATCGTGACGGGGCTCAGGTCAGTTTTAGAGGGGTGCTTGGGGGGGGGGGGGGGGGGGGGGGTCCTGCACACAGTAGGTTTTTTACCTTTATACATAGAATGCATGAAAAATAAAAACATTGAGCCTTTACAACCACTTTAAAATAGAAGGTATAGCCTGTTTGTCATCTGTTCCAGGTTTATAGCTGTTCATTACTTTTTTTTTTTCCCTATTTTTCAGTGTCAGGTAGCTTTGAACCGAAAAGTAATGTCTGACATGGCCATATATGAACCCAAAACATTCAAATCCCTGGCTGCACTAGCCAAAAGAAGAGGTGAAGAAGGTTTGGCATCTGCCCTTGGAGATGAGAAGGAGCCTGAAGGAATATTTTCACGTGTGGTCCATTATCGCTAGTTCAAGATAAGACATTTTCTTTATAAACTGTACAGAGCTGCTGCAGAGATCACATTAAAGGCGATGATTTCTTTCATACTTGCTGCACAGACAATAAGAAATCACAGGATTTTGTTCTTTTACAGCTTTCTGTTTTTCCTCTCGACCCACGACATCAACATTTTCCCCAGTATGCTCGTTGGTGTACAGGAAAGACCTGTATATGCATCAATCTCTGTTATAACCGATTGTGTGAACCACTTTCTGTGTCGGATCCTTCATCTGGGGTGAACCACATGCCCTACAAATACATTGCATGTCAGATGATGGCGTACAAGGTTTTGTTACTTATTTGTGCATCTATATCTTTATATGATTAATAATAAAATGTCTTAAAAGGCCAGGTGGTGTGTTGTAGTCTTGGTTGTTTTTTTACATCTAGTTCTGCACTTTCTGCTTTGAAGCCCAGCTCTGGGTACAATATGTTTAACCCTTTTAGGACTAAGGTCCAAACAAATCAACAAAAAGTGGAAGTAAAGCCAAAATAAATTCTACTCTTGATGATTGCAGTGATACCACGTGTGCATATTTACACTGTTCAACAAATTTTTATTTTTTGCCAGTTTTGGAAACAAAAGGGTCCATTTCTTAATGAATTTCACATTCTGAGTTCAAATATAACAATGAAATTTGTCAATTGGCTCTAGTTTTTCTGTAAACGGAAAGTTTTCTACTATAGGCGTAATGACTACATAATGCACAATAATTCTATAGATAGATGTCTTTCCACAAATATAAAGCAAGTGATATTGACTACATAACAAAGCCTAAATGGCATAATATATTGCATAGGATTACCAAGAAAAATTATAGCCATAAGCTAAGTTGAATCATTTTAATACTTGGGATTCTCACTAGTTTTGTCTTCAGTTTGTGTCGGTTTTGCTTCTCTTGGCTTTTCTCTTGTATTCGAGGAAAGGGCTATCTCTTACAACTGCACATGACTACACGCTTCAGGTTCTTCCTCACTTGACTCAACCACGAAGGATTCTGGTGCTTTAGGAATTGGTAGCCCCTCTCCATGAGGAACTGGACGTATTGCCGATGGAATATTTGGATAGTGCACAGATAACTTTTTCTTCTTATTTAGCCCTTTTACAATTGGAGGCACCATACAAAAGTAACAATTACTAACATGATCTGTTGGCTCTCTCCAAATCATTGGCACAGCGAAAGGCATAGATGCCTTTTTTCCATTCAACCATTGCTCCAGTGCCGTCCCACAAGAATTGCAGCATATATGTGGTGCCCAGCTCTTGTCCTGGTCTCCTATCTTGCAGCCAAAATACAAGTTGTAGGCTTTCTTAATCATTCCTGTTATCCTCCTTTTTTGTGAGATAAAAGTTATTTCACAGCAGATATAGCAGAAATTATCTGCTTTATTCACACAAGTTCGAGGCATTACTGAGTAGCCTATATAAGCATAAAACGAAATGTAAAGACGCTGTCGAACTACAATCAGCTACAGATACTGCAGCTTTTATGCAGTGAAGTGATGCAATTAAAGGCTAATATTGCATCATCTCAGTATACATGCAATTTTCTATTGGTCACCAGTATCAATTGCGCAATATGCAGCTGAAGTTGCATCATAATTTTGAATGGCTTACGTCATTAGATGGGTGAATATGTCATGGAAACTAGAGCCAATCAACATTTTTTAGGGTCATTTTCGTTTTCAGCACCCCAAAATTATGTAAGATTAGCTAATTTTATGCCCAAAACTTTTTACCTGTTGAACAGTGTTATTTGTTTTTTGTACCCGTAGTAGGGCTCAGAACAGTAGTGTTCTTTTTGGTGGGTTTTTGTTTTTTTAAATCAAACTGACACTAACTAATGCTGACTCTAACTACATTCTTTTTATCCTTTTTTTTTTTAATCCTACCTAAAACACACTATGCCCTTTGACCCCAACCCTGACCTTAGATCAAACCCTGATCTAGCTAATTTATTATTTTTATTACAGGTACTTGTATAGCGCCAGCAGTTTATGCAGCTCTTTACATCTATATTGTACATTCACATCACTCTCTGCCGTCAAGGAGCTTACAATCTAAGGTCCCTAACTCACATTCATTCATACACATACTAGGGCCAATTAACCTATCAGCATGTCGCTCCATTTCCTCAAACTTAACCTATCCAAAACCGAGCTCCTGGTCTTCCCCCCCCCATCCTCTCCATCACTACTAACAACGCCACCATCTCTCCCACACGCCAAAGTCCTGGGTGTCACCCTGGACTCCCACCTCTCCTTCCTACCCCACATCCAACTGCTATCTAGATCTTGCAGGCTCCACCTCTGCAACATCTCCAAAATATGTACATTCCTCACCCCAAACACCACCAAACAACTCGTACACTCCCTCATCATCTCACGCCTGGACTATTGCAATTCCCTTCTCACTGGCCTACCCAAACGAACGCTATCCCCACTTCAGTCGATCTTAAACTCCGCGGCTAGACTCATCCACCTCACCAACCGCTCCACATCTGCCCCCCCCCCTGCCAATCCTTTCATTGGCTCCCGATTGCCCAACGCATCAAATTCAAACTGCTAATTCTGACCTACAAAGCCACTCACAACGCCGCCGCAAACTACATAACTGACCTGATACCCAAATACTACCCTACCCGTGTCCTCCGCTCCTCACAGGACCTCCTACTCTCTAGCTCCCTGGTCTCTTCCTCCCACGCCCGATTGCAGGACTTCTCTAGGACTTCCCCCATCCTCTGGAACTCCCTCCCCCAATCCATCAGACTGTCACCTACCCTCCTCACCTTCAGGCGCACCCTGAAAACCCTCCTCTTCAGAGAAGCCTACCCCAACCTCACCTAACAACTAACCTCCTCCACTCCTCCCACCACTCCATCCCCCACAGCCATTTCCTCCTGTACCACCTTCCCCTCCCTCCTAGATTGTAAGCTCGAAAGAGCAGGGCCCTCGAACCCCTCGTGTATTGTATTGTTACTGTCTTGTCTCATGTTCTGTCCCCCCTGCTACTGTACAGTGGTGAGCATACCCTTTGGCGCTATATAAATACTGTATAATAATAATAATAATGTCCTTTGGAGTGTGGGAGGAAATTGGAGTACCCGGAGGAAACCCACACAAGCACAGGGAGAACATTCAAACTCTGGGCAGATAGTATCATGGTTGGGATTTGAACCATAGTATCGACCTTAGTATATTTTCCTTATCCTGTTCCTTTCAGCTCCTGGTCATTTGTATGAGACTTCAAGCTGCCAGTGACAGCTTCATTTCAATGCTTGGTGCACATATGCATTGTGCTCACAATACAAACATAGGTATGCACATATGTGGCCCCACGGGCCCACTTCAGTGTGGCCACATATGTGCGTATGCTCGGTGGAAAAAAGTAAAGAGAAACTTCACCCAGGGTTGTTAAAAAAATTAGTCAGCAACTACAAATACAGTAGCAGCTGACTTTTAACCACTTGCCCTCCTGAAGCTTTACCCCCCTTCCTCACCAGACCATTTTTTGCGTTACGGTGCTGTGTTACTTTGATAATTGCACGGTCATGCAACGCTGCACCCAAATGAAAGTTTTGTCCTTTTTTCCCCCATGAATTGAGCTTTCTTTAACTGGTATTTGATTGCCTGTGCTTTTTTTATTTTTTGCACTATAAAAAAAAAAGTGAAAATTTTGAGAAAATACAATATTTTTGACTTTTTGCAATTAAACATGTCCAGTAAAAAAATTTTAAAACATAAAATTTCATCATACATTTAGGACAAAATGTATTCTGCTACATGTCTTTGCTAAAAAAAATTCCCAAAACGTGTAAATTAATTGGTTTACGTGAAAGTTATAGCATTTACAAATGGCGGTATATATACTGGAGATCCTCGGTAATCACCGGGTGCTGGTGGGTAATCCATTGTTGGTATTGTATTGTTACTGTATTGTCTCATGTACTGTCCCCCACTTTATTGTACAGCGCTGAGCAAACCTATTGGCGCTATATAAACACTGTATAATACCACCACCACCCCCCATTGACGTCTCCATCATGTCCAACAACGACACCATCAAACCCGCCCTGCAGGCCAGAGTACTTGGTGTCATTCTGGACTCCAACCTATCCTTCCAGCCCCAAATCCAATCTTTAACTAACTCATGCAGACTCCACCTCCGCAACATCGCCAAAATCCGCACGTTCCTAACCCCAGAAACCACTAAACAGCTCATCCACTCCCTCATCATATCACGACTCGACTACTGCAACTCCCTCCTCACTGGCCTGCCTCGCCGCTGGCTATCCCCGCTTCAGTCCATCCTGAATACGGCTGCCAGACTCATTCACCTTTCCAACCGCTCCGTTTCCGCCACCCCCCTCTGCCAATCCCTCCACTGGCTTCCGATTGCGCAACGGATCAAATTCAAAATCCTAACACTGACGTACAAAGCCGTCCACCATACTGCCCCGAACTACATCACTGACCTAATATCAAAGTACCACCCAACACGCACACTCCGCTCCTCACAAGACCTCCTTCTCTCTAGTTCCCTGGTCTCCTCCTCCCATGCCCGCCTCCAGGACTTCTCCAGGGTGTCACCCATCCTCTGGAACTCCCTGCCCCAACCCATCAGATTATCACCTACTCTCCTCTCCTTTAGGCGCACCTTGAAAACCCACCTCTTCAGGGAAGCCTACCCCACCCCCTGCTAACTTGCTGGCCTTCTCCACTTTTCCTACCACTCCATCCCCCACAGCTTTCTCCTCCTGTGCCACCATCCCCTCCCTCCTAGATTGTAAGCTCGAAAGAGCAGGGCCCTCAATCCCCTCATGTTTTGCATTGTATTGTTATTGTTCTGTCCCCCTTTGTAATGTACAGCGCTGAGCAAACTATTGGCGCTTTATAAATACTGTATAATAATAATAAAGCAAAATTCTGCCCCCTACCCCCCCAAAAAAAAAAAAAAAAAAAAGCAAATAGCAGCAGCTACAAATACTAGCTACTGACTTTTAATGTAAGGGCACCAGGGATCCAGTGGTGTCCTCACCCTGAGCCGATCCTTCAATTGGCTGTCGATTGCTGGTGCCGCCATCTTAACTAAGGGAACCCAGCACTGAAGCCTTGCGGCTTCACACCGTTTCCTACTGCGCATAAGCGAAGCGCACTACGCTTTGTGAATGGGCTGCACTCTTCTGGAACCTGTGAAGTGTCCCAGACGACTGTGGGGGGTGGCAGCAAATGTCCACCTCGGTTCCCTGAGGTGAACTGAGTCGGAGTGGGAGCAGGCTCCTGTCATAAGCAAGCAACCCCCCCCCCCCCCAAAAAGGTGCCAAATACGGCAGTGCAGGGGGGAGGAGGCAGATAAATGGAGCTTCTAGTAATGGGTGGAACTCTGCTTTAAGACAAAACCCCTTTATTATCACTTTAACACCACACACACACACAGCCAGGTCTGACCACACGTGTGTATAACAAGGCCGATTAGTAGTCATCTTTATTTGTGTGAATCCGTCCCTTCCATGACAGATCCAATAATATCTAATACAATTTCCAAACATTACCATGACACCAGCCGCTTACGTCACACCGCCTCAGGCGGCTCATCGGCAGCAGTGCACTATGGGTCGGCGACGTCACTCCTGTTTTTCAGAATCTCCAGGTTTGAGTAATCCGGCCGGAAATGGGCGGGACCGATAAGCCGTTTGCTCACGTTGCTTGACGTACGCTCCCTCGTGATTGACAGACTCGGCATCCAACCAGCGTGGAGGGGAGCCAGGGGCCTGCCAATGGCGCCGTACGGGGTAGGCGGGCCCGTGGTGTGAAGAGGAGTGCGGGCGCCCCTGAGCCGGAGACTCGAGGAAGAAGAGAAGATGGCGGCTGCTCCCAATGAGGGGATTCTGATCGGGGACAAGGTTTACTCTGGGGTGCTCATCTGTCTGGAGAACTGCCTCATCACCGAGGATAAGTGTGATCTCACTCCGTCCGTGCTGGACGGCCTGGACAGGGACACCGAGACCGACCTTCGCTGTGTGGGCTGCGAGCTCATTCAGTCAGCCGGCATTCTCCTCCGGCTCCCACAGGTAAGGGTTGGCTGTGCCGGTGTTGGCTGGGAGGGTGAGAGCGGGGGCCGGGGTCACACAGGCCGGGGCGGGGGGAGGGATAGGGATGAGGTTTGTACCGGATAACGAGGCTGAGGCCTACACAGGGCGGGAGCCTGACCTAGAGTGAGCCGGCCGGGGGATTAATGGTCTCATCGGATCTCTCTGGACGGATCAGTCACATGTTTAGTACAAATCCTCACCTATACAGCCAACAATCCGGAGCAGAGCGATCTGGTTGTAGATCGGGTGAGCAGTGTGTGGCGGAGCCATTGTCTATTCCTCTATAGTAGAGGCTTGTGATCGGTGACCACGATCCTCCCTAATTCTCCTCCCATGGGGTCAGCGCTGGTTACACATCACTGATTGTACGCTCACCTTCATGTATGGAGGGAGGACACTGCGTCCGAATTTTAATATTCAAAACTTCCGTGCATTGAGACATCGGTTTGAAAAACGCATCCCAGCAATTGTATCTGCGGCCATCTTGGGTAAGGGCAGTTGATTTAGGTAGCGTTTATTTCCTAGAGTCAATCTGTCCTTGGCCTAGGCAGGAGGCTGTGCTTAGCTGAGAGAACCCTTCATGAAGACTGGGGATGGATGACATCCTATTTGCCTAGGCCTGAAACCTGGACGCAACCGCATAAATGTAAAAAAAAATTTAAATAAGTAAATATATTTAAAAAAAAAAAAACTTCCCTATATGTTAACGCCAGCAGTATACGGATTAACCAATTCAATACCGGCACCTTTACCCCCTTCCCGCCCAGGCCATTTTTCACGTTTCAGCGCTCACACTTTGAATGACAATTGCGCGGTCATACAACATTGTACCCAAACTAAAATTTTATCGTTTTCTTCACACAACTAGAGCTTTCTTTTGGTGGTATTTAATCACTGCTGGGGTTTTTTATTTTTTTGCTAAATTAACAAAAGACCAAAAATTTTGAAAAACGTTTTTCTTTGTTTCTGTTATAAAAGTTTACAAGTAAATAATTGTTGTTCATAAATTTAGGCCGAGATGTATTCTGCTACATGTCTTTGGTGAAAATAACCCAAATTAGGATGTATTATTTCTGTAGGAAAGTTATAGAGTTCACAAACTATGGTATAGATCTGAATATTGATCAATCCTGAAGTACTGACAGCCAATCTAATTTCTTGAAGTCCAAGAATGTCAGAATAGTACAGATATCCCCCAAATGACCCCCTTTTTGCAGAGTAGACAGTCTGACGTACTTCATAAGAGGCATGGCGAGTTTTTTTGAAGTTGTATTTTTTTGTCATAATTGTTCGGAAAATGAAAAAATTAAAAAAATTATTTTCACTTTTTTTTTTTTTTACATACTGTCACCAGTGCAGTACAGCGTCATCATATAACTGGTGGTGATCAGGGACACTGACTGGTGACAGTATGGAAAAAAAATATATATTTTTTTTTTTGTCATATTTTACTATGACCAAAGTAGTACAATGTTACGATAGTAACATTGTACTACTTTGGGGAAGTGATCAGTATTTTATTTTTTTTTTTTTTTTACACAATTTGCTTATAGCAAAGAATTACTTTGCTATAAGCAAGTATTTACCTGAATGACATCGATTCATTCACGTGTGTTTTTTTTTTTTTTTTTTTTTTTTTTTTTTTGTGCTTAGCTGTGATTTGGCCACAGCTAATCACATGTGCATGTGACCTGCTGTGATTGGTCACAGCAGGTCACATGGTACCGGCAACGGGGGCCGATACTCAGATCTGTCATTGGCCATGTCCGAGGTACACGGCCTGTGACAGATCGCGCGGCTCTGCAACCGTGTGAACTGCGCATGTGCGGGAGGATGTCACATGGCGTACACCCCCAGAAAGCTAAAGCATTTTTGCGGCCGCCAAACAGCTGTAAGCCGGGCGGCTAATGGTTAAAATAGTCATTGTTGATTGGGAGAGTTTAGTTCCACTTTAACCATTTGCCCTTCAGAGGACTTACTCCCCTTCCTGACCAGGCCAGTTGTAGCGTTATGGCGCTGCGTTAATTTAACCGACAATTGCGCGGTCATGCAACGCTGCATCCAAATAAAAATTTACAATGTTTTTTTCCCAACAAATTGAGCTTTCTTTTGGTGGAATTTGATCACCTGTGCGGTCTTATTTTTTGCGCTATAAAAAAAACTGACAATTTTGAGAAACAATATTTTTTTTACTTTTTTTTTTTGCTGATAAAACTAAGGGCTAGTTCACACTAGATGCACACCAGTGCATTTTATTTCTGTATCAAAAATGCATGCGCAGTGTTTTCCATGTATTCCAATGGCCTTCGTTCTCAGCAGTGCAGTCAGTTTCCGGTGTAGAAAAATGAGTAGAACATTCTGCATTCTGTCTGCACAGAATCGTTCTGGAACATAGCAAACTGCACCGGAACAGTGTGGTGTGACCTGTAAGCAAAAACATACCTGGAGCGCGGTTTTGTGGTGTGAACTGGCCCTTAGTCTAGTATAGTCGTCTGTGGTTTTTTTTTTCTTTTTGTTTTTTTTTTTCCTGCATTAAAAATGCATGTTGTGTTTTCCAATGACCCTAGTTCACACCAGTGTAGTCAGTTTCCAGTGCAGAAAAAATATGCAGTATGGTTTTTTTTTTTTTTTTTTTTTTTTCCTTCTGCGCTGGAAACTGACTGCACTGGTGTGAACTAGGGTCATTGGAAAACACAGCATGCATTCTTAATGCAGAAAAAAACCTGTACTAGGTCGTAGCAAACTGCATCAAAACTGCACAGGAATGGATTGTGGTGTGAACTGTAAGCAAAAAAGTATCGAGTGCATTTTTGTGGTGTGAACTGGCCCTAAAGGTTTTATATAAAATCTGACCATTGTAAGCACCCCTGTCAGTATGTCTCAACCCTCTAACTGCTGCTGGATAGCTTGTTCTGTGAAAGGAAGTTGAAAAATAATGCTTGATGGCTGGATCACCAACTGAAAGAAAAGTCATACAAGAACTGGTAAGTTGCAATAGTGGCAGTTAGAGGGTTGGCTAAAAGCAAATATTGGAGAGGAATTGGAACTCTGTCGGGTTTTTCAGGTTGTTTTGTAGCTGTCCCTGCCCAGAAGGATTTGTCCTGGTTGGAATCCCAAAATGTTTTTTTGTTTTTGTTTTTAAACCAGAACAGGAATAGAGGGGAAATCTACTTTCTGTTTTGGCAATGGGGGAGGGATTGTAAGGCTCCCCAGGCACCATTCTCATCAGAGCGGTGGAGACGACTTCATTCTCACCTAGAAGCCTTCTGGGAGGGATGTGTGTGCATCACAAATCCCAGGATGCGTCAGTCTTCATGTGTAATCTAGAGAGCTGGGCTTCATGAACCAGGAAGAGGTACCTGGCAGCTAGTTGGGTCACATAGAATGAGATTGTACAGGACAAGGCCGAAGGCAGATCCCAGCAGGACAACACTGGATCCCCAGAGCAGGTGAGTATTCAAGTCTCGTGCACACTGAAGCTTACGGGTGTTTGACTTTTTTTTCTGCCTTTAAATGCCCCCCCCCCCCCCCCGTTAGCATATGTGTTCAGTGTTCAGGCACACTTAGGCTTTTATAGGAGTAGGGGCAGAAATCTGAATGGCCAAAAATAACAGGAGAAGAGCTTTGGGCTGGAAAAAACACCTGACTAGTCTAAATGCGCCTCACCACTAGGTGTGTTTACTAGTTGAGCATTTTTTTTTTCCAGTAGCCTGGCCAGAGTAAATTAATATTCTGTCCAATTAAATAAACAGCCAAGCGCTTGATGTGCCTGCAGTGCTAGGAGAAAAGCATTTATAAAAGGGCCAGAGTGCATGAAACCTTAAAGTGCATCTAAAAGTGGGTTTCTTGCCTTAATGCATTACGGTTAAAAAAAAAAAAAAAAAAACCTCTGGGTGCAGCTCCCCCCTGAGCCCCATCTCGATCCAGCGATCTGCATGAGAGCTGTGGCTGTCCCTGGTCTCTCTCTTCTCGTTGGCTCCCGCTGCTGTTAATCAGACATATTTGAAGTTCAGCTTGTGTGACTGTCAGGGCTCCTATAGATTCAGTGGATTAGTGAGTGTAGCCACCCAGTGACATAGTGTGCTATTTGCAGGGTTGCCTGGTAAAATAAGTGAATAAAAGGAAACTAGAGCAGCCATCACACAAGGACTAGTGAACTGCATTTTGTCCAGTTTTTGTGTATAGAAGCACTTTAAATCACCTGTTTGCAGATCACCCCTCTCCCCCCTCCACGTTGTCTATCAAAGCCTATGTAGGGGAAGGCCTATGTGATTGGATAGTCTGGTGTGGCCTTCATATTATATAGTCTTGGTGGATTCAGAGGAGCTGGTACAGTCAGGTTGTAATGTGTATGGAGAACATTATTCTCCTGTTCATGCTCCTGCCAGATCTGTTCTGTGCAGCTCATAGGGAGTGAGACAGCTGCTGCAAACTCTGGCTACTTCCTGGGGTCGAGTGAATCCCATTCATTCCCATAGAGAGGCTTTCTAGTTTGGAATTTCAAGATAGGCCCTCCATAGGAATGAAGAATATTCCGTCTGCAGATGGGCAAATGGATCTGCCTTAAAGTTTCTGGTGGCAGCTCCCTGTTAGGATGGTACAAGACTTGTACTTGAATATGTGTGGGGTTTGTGTTCTGGAGCTGCTGGGAAATCTGATAGCAGTCATAAAATCCGATTGCCCCATATGATATAACCAAATCATTGCAGACTCTCATTCCGCTATAGCAAATGCTGGCCTTCCCACTATACGGCTACTTTCATACTGAGGAGTTTTTGAAGCGCTTTTGCGTTACGGGGGAAAAAAAAGCTAGAGTAAAATGCTTCCCTATGTATGTTTTCACACTGGTGCTTCCATTGCAGTGTAAATGCCCTGAAAATGGCTCTTCCCATTGAAATCAATGGAACATGCCTCAGGTTTTTTTGGCATGGTACCATGCAAAAGCGCAGTAAAATTTCACATGCGGTTTTGCGGCAGGTCCAGTGTGAAAGTAGCCTGCGGTGGCTCACAAATGGTACCTTACAAATTGATTTTCAAGGTGTATTGGTACCAGTTGCTGCACAGTATGTTTCGCAAATTTCTATAGTATAGTACATTATCACGCATGAATTTGGTGAAATGGTGCAGTTTGGGATGTGGAGCGCTGTGACCTGCAGATGTGGTAGTTGAAGGATTGTGGACAATGTAATGAGGCTTCTATATAGTACAGCCAGACGTAGTAATCTGCCTTGTCTGCACTGGCCTCTGTAAACATGTTCCTTACCCTGACTGTACACAAGCAGCCCTTCAGCTGTGTGATTCATTCATTTGTAATCTTGTTTTCATAGTATGGCTTATTGTTCTTTGGTGTGCTGCTTATCCTTTGTTTTGTTTTTTTAAATTGCCACATTTAGTAGACATTCTTTCTACTTTGTCATGTTTTTCATATGTGTATTTTGTAGATGAAGCCTTTATTCAGGTGTTGAAGTCCCAATCAAAGTGAATAGTCCTTTTAAAGGACTTTTTCACCAATTCTATTAAATGTAAGGTGTTGAAGCCTTTGCATGTATCCACGCAAATGTTTTCTTATTCAAACTATAGCTTTCTGCTGGTTGTGTAAGACTGCCTTTCAGAAAGTGATTGGAGCCGACTGCTAGTGGGCGGTAGAAATGGCTAAACATGGGACATGATGTAATCTCTCAAGCAGCTGCTCTTTTGTTCTGTTTCTGGGAAACTGATACTACCCTGCTCAACAGGAACATACAGTTCGTCACATTCCCAGTACTGATTCATTTGGTCCTCCCTTTATTTCCTCATTGCCTCAGGAAACCGGTTGTCACGTGACTGCTGCTTAGGTGTGCCGATTGCTCTCCTTCACTTCAGACTTGTTGATGTTTTCAGTCAACTGTAGTGTATGCTATAGTTTGCTATCAAATGCAACTCAAACTAGAGCTTTTATATAGGACAGCAAGATGCCAATATTTGGGCTGTAGGTTAAAAAAAAAAAAAAGAGGTAACAGAACATTACATAACAAGGAACCCTCACGTACAAACGGCACCCTCGAGCCAGTGATCATTAAGCATACTCATTCAGGATTACAGCTAAATCATTTTGCCTTTAACATTGGCTATTGAGGTCTTTATCATTTGTCAGACTTCAACTCTAAAAGGCTGTTCTGTAAAGGCATTGATGTGACCCTTACCAAACGTTGGTTGTGGATGAAACTTCCTGGTGAATGTTTTAATACACAAGTTCACCACCAGTGAATGTCATTCACGACTTTAAAAATATATCTCAAGATGACTAAAATTATGTGCGAGCAATAATTTGGTCTTCTGTGATCTTTTTCCTAGGTGGCAATGGCTACAGGACAAGTGTTATTTCAGCGGTTCTTCTACACTAAATCCTTTGTGAAGCATTCCATGGAGGTAAGGAGAACAAGCTGCCTGCTTTATCCTGTATCTTCATTCATGTACACCTTCAATTGTTTACATCTTTCTTTAGCCAAAGAACAATAGCTATTAAGTGCTTTAATAAAGTGTTTTTGTTTTTAGCATGTCTCAATGGCCTGTCTCCACTTGGCATCCAAAATTGAGGAGGCACCAAGGCGCATCAGGGATGTGATTAATGTGATTCATAGGCTTCGCCAGTTGAGAGAGAAACAGTAAGTTCTTTTATTTTTTTTTTTTGTAGTAGCAGTGTTACTGGCCTTTTATATGGTGAATAAATTGAAAGTTGCGGGGGACCCGTACATTAACCAATATGTTTTAAGTAACCAGGTTGATTCAAAAATTCGTTGAGAATTTGGGCAGCTACAAAGTGTCTTCTAAACAGAAGGGGGATGTGCACAGTGTAAACGGTGACTAAGCAGTTGCTGTAAAAGTAGTCCCTCTTTTATGGCTTCAACATCAGATGCTGGATTATTGGATTAGAAATTAACCTACTGATGATCATTATTACAAAAATAATTTTGTAAGGGCGACTGCATTTTTCTATAAGTATTTACTGTGCTATCCAGTGTGTGCCCTTCACTTTTATGTCCATTGTGTCACTGGTTTATAGGAAGAAATGCAGTTCAGGAACCACTGTTGGTCAAAAACCACTCTAGACAGTCAAGCAATTAGATATCTAAATGAAATGAGCGCTAGAGCTGTATAGTGGAGCAGCTAGGCAAGAGAAGGTAAAACCTCAAAAAACCTCTTAGAATAGCAAATATATAAAAACAAATATGCAGCGCTCCCAAACGTGATATTAAGCAAATATAAATGCAGAAACCTGTATAGTACTCCAAAAATGATATTACGCATATATAAATGCAAGATTGTGTATAGTACATACAATTATGAGTCACTGTACATAGATAAGTTCATAAATTCAATTCCAAATGAAAACGTGATAGGTGACAGTCTATATATAGCGAACGGACGATATTTCGTGACATCAGTGCTGAAAAATGAGTAGGTTGCACTAACCAGATAGCGCTTTATTAAGCGCATATAGATGATGTCATCTGGGAATGCACATCTGGACCCGGGTGTTCTGACTAGCAGCAGCATATATCACAGCATGTCAGCAAGGCAGAGTTCTGATTGGGGACCACCAGAGGGAGCCAGCAACCAGGATCTCTTCAGACCAAGTATACTGAGTGTATGATGTGTTCACAGACCACCAGAGGGAGATAGGGCTCTGGAGAGTGTTCAACGATTCCCTTGGGGAAAATTGGCTCAAGAGAAAAAGAGCCAAAAAACAAAAATATCTAAGTGCAACATTGCTTTATTTAGGTGCAGAGAAATGATAAAAATGCAACTCACATGATATGCAAAAAGCTTTATGTCCAGACAGGAAAAGTCCACGTGGATAGAAAGTCACTGAGGGCAGCTTTCTGGCAATTGCCATTCATTCTTTTACTGAGCTATATAGGGTTCCAAAAATGCACTTTTGACCATGCCTTTTTTACTAGTTTTTTTTGCATCCAGTTGCTGCACTGAGGCTTGATATACTTACTTTCTACCTCCTGTAGGAAACCATCACCAATGGTTTTGGATCAGGACTATGTGAACCTAAAGAACCAAATCATTAAGGCTGAAAGACGGATCCTAAAGGAATTGGGATTTTGTGTCCATGTGAAGCACCCTCACAAAGTGAGTCTTAAGAACATTTCTGTGTTTGTGTACATATTCCGTGATTTGATCTGTTCAGGTTTGCCATCTAATCTTTTAAAATCCTTTCCAGATTATAGTGATGTATTTGCAAGTATTGGAGTGTGAGCGCAATAAGCATCTTGTCCAGACATCATGGTGAGTTACTTGTTCTCATGTATCCATCAAACATGTTAGCTGTACAGTTAACCCTTTTCATGGCTTGCGGGAAACGTAGGGCATTGCTTAGCAGTGCTTCGCACACCCTGTCGGCCCCAAAGGCATTAACAGTTCACTTGATTGCAGCTGTTGACTTAGAAGATCTGATTGAGAAGCGCTTCAGCTTTGCCATATTTGGAGAGAAGAGCAGGGAGAGATATTAAGTGTGCCCTTGACAGTGTTGGCACCTATTCAAGACTCATCTCATGGCTTTTGAATAGCAAGTAAAATACCCCAAAGTGTTCAGATTGTAATATACTGTCATCCAGCATTACTGATTAGCCCTAATGTCTTGGAAGTTTCTTACCAATACCTGGAGATAATTGACCTCTGAATACAATATGTTTTAGCCCTCCAGTCTCTTGTAAGAAATTGCTTGTACATTAGGCTCTAAATGTCCATTGGAGCTGAACTTTAGACCAGTGACAAATGTATGCAGGAATCCAGGGATCTCAACTGGTTTATTAAAGTGAGTTTGTCGTGGAAATGTAAAGCATATTTGGATCCAAGAACAAACGTGCAATATTTTTGTAGCTTACCAGTCCTTGAATGTTGTGGCTTTAATTTTTTCAGACTAGGTACAAGAAATACCAGTTGTTTTTGGCAAAATGTCTGTGTCCTTGTCGCTTTCCTGTGCAATAAACTGAAATCTTAGTTTCTTGAGCTAGGGTGACAACACTGCGCCTCCATAAATGCATTAGTCAGTGATGTCACCCTAGGACAGGAAATATTGTTGGCAGGATCACAAGGGAAAACACCTGTGGAAAAAAATAGTGCAGCCACCACATCTAAAGACCTGGTAAGCTGTAATTTTTTATTTATTTATTTTTTTGGCAGGGTGGTAAAGGTACTGCCATAGACTCTTGCATAATCAGGACAAAGTGACTGTATAAATCCTCTGGAATAACTAGTGTCTAAGCTCAGAGGCAGGATTGATTTCACCCCCTGGCTTTGTCCTAAGTGGGCAAGGTGTTCTCTTCAGTCATAAATGGCTTCTGAGCTGGTATCACATGAGTATTAGGTGTGTTTTTGTTAAAGTTTATTTTTAAGGAGATGGTCTACATGCATGTTATAAAACTGCAGACAACCTAGTTCTAATGGTCTGTTATATTGCTCATGCCATGTTATTGTCTTATTGCTAATAGTTGGGGGAGGGTGGTGGGGAGTATTTGATTGAACTGTCTGGTACTTTTGTGCTAAATGGATGGAGAGCCTGTTTTAACTTTTTGTTTTCTGTACTCTTTTGATCAAAGGCTAGCCTCTGAGGGTAAGTGACTAAGACTTCTCCTCTGCTGTCCAAGCGCTTTGGTGCAGGGATAGCTGCCGTCTTCAGTCAGTCCCAAGCAGGTTCCCCAGAAAGAAGGCTGCCTCTGGTCAGGTGGTATATCAACAGCGAAGTAACGGGGCTCATTGCTCCTCATGGTTTTCTTTCTTTTCATGCTTGTTCTTACAATGACATTTACACTGCCTTTTTGTTCTATTTTTATTAATTTTGTTTCTCTACTCAGATATTACTCAGTATTTTGCATTTCTGTTCAGTAGCTAGTCTGGTTACTTTATTTTCAATTAAATGATCTGTCAGGCCAAAACTGGGGCTGTTAATGGGTTGAATTACTCATGGTGGTGAGATTAATTTGCTATCTTCCTAAAGTCGACTGTTCATTTTATTTTAAAATGTGGATAATGCAGGAGGGGTGGTAGGGGGTGCATGGAGGAGAATTCCCCTGGAGAGATTCTCTGGCGGGTGTTCACAAAAAAACTTAAGATTATGGGAGCTTCAAGCCACCAATGTCATCCCTTAACTAAATTCTTTTAGTTTGGAAGAACCTTTAAAGAACCACATGAAATGCCTTGTGGTTTTACTGCTCCAGTTGACACATGTATTCAGGGTTTTTTCTTTCCCCTGCTGCCATTCTTACTTTCTCCACATTTTCCATGCACAAAGTGCCCTAGCAAAAGGGACAGGGACTAGGGGCAAACAGTGCCTAGTGTTTGAGCATTTACATCAACAGTTGTGGTGTGTCCGGTGACTTTGGTAAGGTAACAAGGTAGGGTAGCAACAAACAGTACAAGGTCTTAATGTCCAAATGATACTAATGTCCCTGAAGAGCCTCTTTAGACTTTAGGTAGTGCATGGGACCTCCTATTCCCTAGTTAAAATGAAGCCTTGACCTTTCCTGATGTGAACATCCACAGACTGTAATTCAGCTGTTAATGCCAGAGCCTTTACCAATAAATATTCTAGTAGGACAGTGAAGTTTGTAGCAGCTGAGTTGATGGATCATCTGGCCATTGGCAGAAAACGAGCACACATACAGCCTCTGGGCTTGGTACACAAAGGGATTCCACAGGTATATATTTAATGCAGGTCTTTGACACTTTAGCAGTGTTAGGTTAGGTCCACTTTAAACCTGTCAAATTTTGCTTTCCTCTTTATTGCAGCTTCACATAAAGTGGCCAATGACAATGTCATGTTTCCCGATCACGTCAGGACATACTTTCAAACTATTTGAAAAGGTGTCCATTGCAAGCACCGCTCTCACTGTGCCTTTTGCTAGATGTCTTGGTCTTCATGTGGAGAAAAAAAAAAACAATGGCATGTGATGTAGATTTTTTGGGAGATGGGGGGAGTGATCTCCCCCCCAAATCAGGATATGTTTTTGTGATACTAGCCCTTTAAGCTAAGTTGTATGAAATGTAATGTCATATGTTGGCCACACAGATGCAAAATTTATCATTTGCTTTGTAGTGTCTGCCAAATCGGGTATAATGAAATGCTGTTTAGGCAGAACTTTACCCTTCTAGTAATTGTATTCTGGTATGTGGCTTTAATACTATTCTGGGTTCTGTTTAAAGGAAACCTGTGAGAGATGAATAAGCTGCTATTGCTTATGTTTTCTTCCACAAATGAATCCAGTCTGTTTTGGTGAACAGGCTACTAAAGCTTCAGTGCATGTTTACTTTAAAGGGAACCTGTGATCAAGCTATGGACATTTTCAAATATTTTACATTTTCTCAAACCTTAAATAAGCTTTACAAGAAGCCCTCATTGACCCGTATTTGCAGCTACTGTGAGTTTTCATTCTCCATGATTGTAGCAGAAGCACTTCCACACTTGTATTTTATTGCTACCCACCCCTGCTAGCAGTGTCTTTACCTCCTAATGTAAACACACAGGGGATGGGGACAGTAGAGTGCCAACTTTTTGTATCCTTAGAACTTTGAGGGGCAGTTGCTCTATTGTCTGTAGCCATAGAGGTCCATACAGACTTATTTTAAAGCTTATTTAATGCTTTATAAAATGTTTATTTAAATGTTTATAGCCTGGCAGTAGTTGTGCTTTAAGCCTCAATCTAACTGGTTTAGAATTTGTACAGTATTTTGCAGCATGTCATCAATTATTGCTTTTCCTTGGAATACACATGAACTTGAACTATACATGGACATCTTCCAGCCATACAAGCGGTTTCTTTAATAATTTGACACCCCTATTGACCGGATTCTGCCAATGGACGATTTCACCTGTAGGATCTGGACCTCAGAATGGACATTCATAAGCAGCCTTTCTGGTTCTAAAAGCAGTGCTGCATTGTTTACAATCTAACACAGCTATTTATGCATAAATACACCTAGGTTATAATAGGCTCTCCATCCTCCACAGTTCAACTCTTTGCTCCCCATATTTAAGACTGGGCCCCCAAACACTATGCTAGATTAGCAACACTTAAGTATAGTTTTAGTGCAGTCATAAGTGTGCAATTCTTCAATTTTTATAATTTCAGGAACTACATGAATGACAGCCTTCGCACAGACGTGTTTGTGAGATTTCACCCTGAGACAATTGCTTGTGCTTGTATCTATTTGGCTGCAAGGACACTGGAGGTCAGTATGCTCATCAGCAGCTTTTTTTTTTTTTCTCCCTAGACTGGTGCTTTGTATATCTAAGCTAACATTTAACTGTTTTCTCTGTAGATTACTCTCCCAAATCGTCCACACTGGTTTCTTCTGTTTGGTGCTACTGAAGAAGAAATTCGAGAGATTTGTGTTCAGATTTTAAAGCTGTATAGTCGCAAAAAGGTACCTTGCCTTTTTTTATTTTCATGCTTATGTTGGACTATGTGAATATTGCTAGCAATGTACAGCTTTCTACAATTCTTTTCTCTGCTTTTAGGCAGACTTGACTGTTTTAGAGAGTAAAGTGGAGAAACGGAAGCTGCAGATTGAAGAAGCTAAGGCCAAGGCAAAAGGATTACTCCCTGAGGGAACACCAAGGCTGGACAATGGTCCGGAATTCTCACCAAATGCAAAAACTGGTAGGTAGTGTTCCACTTCTGTCTGGAATGTTTCTGCTTTTCCTGAGCAAAACTAATAGCTGTGTCTTGCAGAATCTCCAAAAGATGGGAAAGTAAACAAGCCTTCACCTGCTGCCATACATGCACTGAAATATTCCAAAAGGAAAGTAGATGGTGGAACGAAAAAGTCTACTTCAGCAAGTCCTGTTAATGGGTAAGTGGTTTTTTGTTTTTGTGTGTTTTTTGACAATGGTGAATGCCACAGTCGCATAGTTCAGTCCTTGGAGTGAAAGATACCCAACTTGTAATGGAATGCTGCCATGCGCATCCTGATTCCATGGAAGATTGTATACAAAGTATATGTAAAGCCTAATACACAATCAGAAAATCATATGAAAAATACCACTTGATGCGATCCTACAATCTTAGTACACAACTTTCAAGAACCAATCACGACCGTTCATCCAAAATTATCCAAAAGGACAAACATGAAAATGTTTTCTTGTACGATATTAGAACATACGATTTTTGTTTAATCAGTACAGTATTTGAATTAAGAAAAAAAAAAAAAAATCAAAGACCAAGACCACACATGCTCAAATGAGAGAATACAATATATTCCATCACTTCTGAAATTTTTTATTTTGTTTGAGAATTTTCATAACGTTACAACATTTTCGATATGAAACTAGCATGCAAAAAGATGATCATCTGATACACTCATCGTGTGTAAGAGGCTTAAACCATAGTCCTTTTACCGGGTATTACACTGTGATTTTTTTTTTTTTTTTTTTATGTTGACATTAATCTGTAATGTAGGCTACCATCAGGTGTGACAAGCCCCACACAGCTTGGATCCTCTTCAGAGTGCCCTGATATCAGACATTCTTTTACACAAACCCTCCTAAATGTTCTAATCCTATACCCACAGTGGTTCCAGAGGGGCAACAAAACAAGCAAAGCATGATCCAATTTGCTCCTGCAGGAGAGAATTCCTTCCTGATCCCCCGAGAGGCAATCTGATTTTCTCTGAATCAATTTTACCTATAAAATGTTAGTGACCAGCAGTGAGATGCAGGCTTGGTGGTCTAATGCTACATGTATAGATTTTCAGACAAGAAGATTTATATGAAAATTCTTTGTACTTTCGATGAATGAACAAATGTTCAAAAATTTTATTTGCTTTTAACATTCGATTTTTTTTTTAAATTTTTAATTTTTTGCTCCTTTTGAATTTTCCCATCACTGTAGTCAAAAACTGTCAATTTGACACCCTCTAACAATTAGAAAATGGAACTAAGATTCATAAAACAAGTGTGGGGTTTTTTTTTTTTTTTTTTTGTTTTCAGCTACAGTGCTGAACAAAGATTCTTCCCTCCACACAAGCAGCAAGGTAGCTGTTGAGCAGTGAGAGCCACACACAGATCAAAGTTCAACTGGTCTCTGCTGAAGCAGCCAAACTTCTCTCCAGCTATGCCCAGCCTACAATCTGGCTTTTTAAGTGCCACAAGTTTCACGGCTTACAGAAGCATATCTCAAGTCGTGTAGGAAGCATTTACCACAAGTTAATTTAGCATGCGCCACTGCCTTTTTTTTTTTTTTTTTTTTTTTTTTTTTTTTTTTTTTTTTGTATACTGTTGAATATAGGGAAGTTAAACGTTCCAGTTGCAAAGCATTTAAAAAAAAAAAAAAAAAAAAAAAAAGCTCTTGGTCTGTGTACACTGCTGTATAATCTGGTGATGCTCAGGATTCACTTGGGGTATACCCTGCTAAAGCCTGAGTCACAAACCTCCCTTTTTTTTTTTTTTCCCCCTTTCAGCATTGTTAAAGGGAGGGACAGCAGAAGCGGCAGTAGAAGCAGAGATGAGAGCTATTCCCGTTCCAAATCTCGATCTGTGTCTCCGAAAAGAAGGTAAGTTATGGCTCCTCTATCCATTTTTTGAAAGTGATACTTTGTAACCACCTGCTTTTTTGTTGACCTTTCTCCACAGAGCATTAAAGCGGTAGTCGGGGGGGGGGGGGGGGGGGTTTCACTTGTACCTACAGGTAAGACTATAATGAGGCTTACCTGTAGATACAGTGATAACATCCTAGATGTGCACTGCACCCTTCGGGAGATATTCACAATTGTAGCAGCCGGTAATGTCACCAGCAAATCTGCACTTAATAGACCACACACTGTGTGCCGTGATCATGACTGATGTCGTTGCGGCCTGGCACATTCAGAGGCATCTCACTAAAGTAAACTGGCAAATCTGTCAAAGTGCTGTTTTGCATTAAGACATTAACCTTCTGGGGGGGTGGCATTTTTTGTTATGCTTTTTGAGGGATTTTTTTTACTGCTGCTTTAATAGGCTGAAGCCTTTTGTTCATGTGTTTTGAGTTTAAAAATCTCTTTAAAAACTTGAAGCTTTCAACCGTCGGTCAAAGTGATCTTCTGATAGCCACTCCCAATAAAAAAATATTCACTAGCCTGAGCCAATCGCCTGGCATGAACATTGTTAAATGGGGGAGGTAAAGTCTAGCCTGGTATGCGGACACTGGTGCTTACGCAGAATATGGACTCCTCCAGTTGGGTATCTGGAGGGGTTAGTATACCTTGCTGCAGGGAGTGTGCTGTAGCAGAAGCTACTGTCACTTTGTAGTTCTTTATGACTAAAATACATTTAAACTGACTTGTGTACCTATTCAGGGCAATGTGCATGCAGAAATGTGAAAGTTGCAGTAATTATCCCGGATGTTTACTTATGAAAAGAGCTTATAGTTTCTCTTTTTTTTTTTTTTCTCTCTGTTGTGAGCAAGACATACTGTAAATTTTACTGTAGTTGTAGTCTGGTGGTAATTCATAAATCATTGCACTAGCCGTTTAGTTCTGGTGTTACATTTGGGGTGGCTGTGTTTTTTTTTGTTTTGGTTTTTTGTTTTGGTTTTTTTGTTTTGGTTTTTTTGTTTTGGTTTTTTTTTGTTTTTTTTTTTGTTTTGGTTTTTTTGTTTTGGTTTTTTTGTTTTGGTTTTTTTTTTGGTTTTTTTGTTTTGGTTTTTTTGTTTTGGTTTTTTTGTTTTACATTCCCTAAGTGATTTTACTGGCAAAACTAAAGCTGTTCTTTAAACCATTTTAGGAAAAGTGAAAGTTACTCCACATCAAGTGAGTCAAAATCCCGTAGTCACTCCCGAAGTCGAAGTGATTCCCCTCCTCGAAAACACAATTATAGCTCGCACAAAAGCTCTAAAGGACATGTGTATGGAAAGAGTGCTGACTACAAATACACCACACACAAGAGAAGATCTCATAGCAGAAGTTCCTCTCCTTCCTATAGCCGATCACGCGAAAGTCCAGAAACTCGGAAGTACAAGAAGAAAAGCCACTACTACCATGAGCGACGAAGGGAACGTTCCCGCTCCTATGAAAGGGTGAGCCACCGAAATTATGACCGGGATTACTCTGGGCACAGCCATCACAGAAGATGAGTGCTGAATTGGGACCCCTCTTTGACTCTTGGCTGTGAATCATCTAAACAGTTCAGTGCCAGAAATTTTGGACAGTAAGATATTGGGAAAGCTGACAGCCCGCCCATTTATATATTACATGGAATTCTAGAAAATCTATTGAATTTGGACAAGGTCATTTGATATGACCAATGAAATTTAGGTGTTCAGAATGACCATGTTTTTTGTAGACTTAACATGAGCATTTTGATTAAAGGGTCAGTTTACCCAACACTGGTATTCTGTTTTTAGTAGATAGTGGAGTTAAATCACCAGCCACTCCGCCTTATGCCTGTCTCTGCCCTGTCTCATTTTAAAGTGACATTTTTCTTTTGAATCTACTATATGAAATGCTGTAGAAGTGACACTCCTGCTGTTTTGGGCATTGGACTCCAGAGCAGGGGGAGCAGAACCAAGACTATGGCAAGGGGATCATGCACTGGGGTACACAAACAATTAAAGAACATGGCTTGTGATTTAACTCTTCAGCATCTGCTTAAAATGGTTAATTTTGTTTGAACTTACCCTTTAAAGGGAAGGTGCAGTAGCCCGCAGCAACATGTGTGGTTTTTTTTTTTTTTGTAATAAACTTTAAACTGGGGAAAAAGCAGGCTTCTTTGGGGAACTCCACTCCATAGCTTCAGGCACTGCCTTATTAAGTTTGTAAACTTTATTACAACAGGGCAATCTTTCATGGCTTCATTATACATGCAAGTAAAGTCACAATTTTGACCTATATTAGGTCTTGATATCCCAACTCCTTCCTCCCAAGATTATACAGCCTTAAATTGACTTTGGGCATTTGTAAATAGCAACGTGTTAATGTGACCAGGTCAAGATTTGTGGAAGGCTTTCTGCAAAATCAAGCAACCTACTTGGACTGTTCTGTACTGTTTTATATCTTCAGAGGCCCGTGCCGGACACGAGCAGCCACAAGACATTTCATATTGCATATGTTTTATGTCTTTATTAATGGATCTGCACATTGTACTCAGGATATATGATGGCTGAAAGAATGCAAAGATGTGTCATTCTGCTTGTTAAAATGTTGAAACAAGACACAGCCAGGCCATATCAGTTTTATTGGTATATCCAAGCTGTATTTCTTTTTCTTTCATTAAAGTATTGGATTTTGTACTTTATATATAATTTTTTTTTTCTACATCACAGCATATTCATTGGTGATTATAGTTAGAGAGTTGCTCATTTGCATAGTTTCATGAATCGGGGCATAACTTAAGTGTTGCTAAATCCACAACCGTAAAGTCAGTCTGTATATGCATTAAAGTATGCTTGTTACTCAGTGTGGACCCTAAGGGGTCAACCCTCCACATTGTGTAAAAAGGCTGTTTGATCCTGTCTAATAATACTCCCCTCCTTCCAGTCTCCATTCCATCTGCTGATAGTACAGCCCTAAGAGGCACTCTGCCCATTCTCAGTTTGTGTGTATTGCTAAGGTTTTTTTTTTTTTTTTTTTTTTTTTGGAAGGGTGTATGTGATCAGCACTGTCCATACCGAGGGTCAGGGTCATGCAGCCTCTTACGACAGTCACAGGAGAATGAAAACTCATACAAGCTTTAGTCAGTTTGGCTGGACACTGATAGAAGTCACAAGACTGTTATATACTGCTGTTGAGAAATTATTTAGAAGTTTATATTTACTAAAATAATTGCATTTCCATGTACTGTGGGAGACCAGATATAGTGAATGCAGGGTCCTGGGTTTAGTAACACTAACATTTGGGGCTAATTGGTTCCTGTTTATATTAAATGTACCTAAAAGGTTGGCATATCTTTATTTTTGGATAAAGTGGTTAGGGTTGGATCCTCTAGTTTTTTATAAGTGTTCCTGCTAGGAGTTCAAAGTAACTTAATTTCTCAGTTATGGTAAGGATCTTCTGTCTTTTCAGTTCTGAACTCTTCCCCTTCAGGTATTTTTAACAAATGGGGATAGTGTCATTGTTTTGCTGAGCCTGTGCACCCCGTACATTTTTATATATAAAAAAAAAAAAAAAAAAACTTAGCAATTCATATCTTGTGTCATCGCCCATAAACTTGGCATGGATTACTATCCCACATCTGTGGATACAAACTCCGAACTACCTGATTCTAGAAAGGACCTGCTAAAGGCAGATGGCTACAGTTCTTTCCTCCTCTTCCCCTTCTGTCTGCCACTCTCTACCTATGCACCAGGTAGTGTAAAAAAAAAAAAAAAAAAACCCTGCTGCCATTTAATACAACAAAGTGGATAGTTGGATGGGTAAATGCTCCTTTTTTTTTTTTTTTTTTTTTTTTTCTTCAAATGTTCTGTCATGCATAGAATTTGCCTACCCAAACACTGCTTCGTTACATAAAACGATGGCAGGGGCACAGTTTAATGTCAATCCACCATTGCTATAGCACTAAAGCTGACCATACACATTGGGCTGAATTTTAAGCAGGTGCGTAGACCTGTACACACATTCCTGCGCGTATGTTAGATTTTGAAATGTGGCTGTGTCTGTGCATCTGCATCCACCTCTATAAGACTGTCTGCGTACAGATCAGGGCAGGTGCAAATAAAAAATGCCTGCATGCAGAATTGGTATGAAATGCCTTTCTGAATGAAGCCTGATTATGTTGAATGTTAGGGCTTATTTCCACGAACATACTGCTGACTGTATTCTGATCTGTACATCAGACATTGCACAGATGTACACTTCAGGGAGTGCCTGGAGAACTGCATCCTACATTGGGTTAAGATGGGCCCCTTCACATGGGTGTACAGAACGGTACGCCTGCGTCAATGAGCCCTTACTGCACAGCCCCTTTCCTAACCATTACGATGCAGGGAGAGTGTGTAAGACCTTTCAATCAAATAAAAAGTAGAAATTGCGGCTTAAGTTCTCTTATGGAAACGTAACAAATGCAGTGTAACATAGGTGTTAGCTCAATTTAGCTGTTAAAGTGGTAATACACTTTAGATCCCAAAATGCAAGGGTTAACTGCTTGTTAAAGCTGAACTCCAGGTTTACTATGACAATAGTTCATTTAGACCAAGCCACTCCAAACTTTCTTGCTGCGAGTGCTGCATAAACTGTACAGTGTACATCAGCTACTTTATAGTATACAGCCTTGTGTTCTGGAAGTGGGACAGAGACTTTCCCCATCCTGGGGAAAAAAAAGGGAGTCTGGCCCATCATAGGAAACCTCATCTTCCTATGAATGGCAGGAGCCAGGCTTTAAAAGTTGGTGTAAACACACAAGTCTAGGGCTACAGCCTGAGTACATCTACTACACTGCTGCCAAATCAATACCGCTGAGCATACAGACAGGGTGCCACCAATATCAATCACCAAACACAGGTAGGGTGCCCCACCCCCCACAATTGATGGGAAAACATGCACAGCCCTGAGTTGAACAGACCTGGGTGAGTTTACAAATAATGTTTCTGCATATGCACATTATAAATTAAACAAATGTAATAAAAATATATGCACAATGCAAAAATGAGAACAAATACTACTAAACACAAAGTATCACTGATACACAAAAGAAAAAATGAATACTTTAGATGTGTATACCACCAGATTCCTGTGTAAGTAGCATATGTCACTGGTATTTTAGCCGAGTCCAATGAAGTTTAAGTAGAGCTGACTTGCATTTCAGCCCTTTTGTCCCTTGCAAGCAAGCAACAGTCCACAGTAGTTGCTCCCGGTCCCAACACTGCAACTGCCTGTGTTTGTGGTTTTTTTTTTTTTTCCTCTTTTTTTTTTATACATGAATTATACAGCTCCCAGTTTCTGTCCCACCTGCTGCCTGTCTGACCTCTAGTATCTATGCTACAGGTCTGGCAGATGGGCTTACAGGCAGTGCCAGAAGCTGCATAATTCTCATGTTAGGAGATTTCAGCATCGGGGCCCGGGGCACTCGCCAGCAGATGCAAAGCAATGCCAAGGTCCGGGAAGTACAATTCAAGGAGGGGGTGGGGGAATTTGTGCTGAAAGGGAGGTTTTTCCATAGAGGTGGGGAGATTTTGAGAGGAGGGGGTAAATTATGCTTAAAAAGCACTTTAGGCATTACTGCTGAACTTTGTGAATGGGTGGGATTAAATGGATAGCAGTAATTAACCTCTTCCCATCCAGGCCATGTACATAAATGGCTGGATGGGAAGCATGCCGATGTGGGTGGGTGTTTTTTTTAAACTGCCACCTGCATCAGAGGCTAGTGCGTGGCTCCTAGATCTTGCACCCACAAGTGTGGTGCTTGCTATGTTGAGCAGGTTGAGCTTTTGTCCCATTTGTGATACCAACAAGCGTATTAGACCTTTTTAATTAAAGAGGTCATGTTCGTCTGGTGAGTTATATAAATTTACCAGATCACTGGGTGGGATACCTTAAGGTGAAGGAGACTAAGCTCCGAGCAATTTTGTGTTTAAGGTCATGTGTGGTGACCTATGGACTTGTATGTATCTGATGTAAATTCACAAAATATTGCATTTGATGGTTTCTCATGCATATAGATTTCACGGATTGCATTATATCTGTTATAGGTTTTTTAAGGGTATTTTTAAGTATGTTTATTATAGGAACATGTTTTATATGGCATATATAATTAGAGAGCACTTGATTTTTGCGTAAATTAAGTGAGATAAGATCTATTTTTATATATATTTTTTATATATTTTTCATATATTTTAATTAATTTTATTTTTATTTTTTTTTTTAATATTTTTTATTAATTAAATAAAACATTTATATAAATGGGAATGGGTACTAAGGTTTTTCTTGTTTAATATATTTTTGTTGCTTTTAATTTAGATTGCGGCTTGGTGCATTATTATACACATTGTTCTCTATGTATAGGTGCCCATTGCTGCCATTAGTGTTTATATCTCTGCAATATCCCCTTTTTTGGTACATTCTTATACACTCCTCGTTTTTTGTGTAAATGTGCCCATTGCAGATATTGGCTTATGTATTCTTGCATAATAGTCCCCAGTGG